TGACAAACCTTACTAATTGGCGGTGTCGAGTGGTGGTGGGTTTAACGACATATTTATGCAATCTAACCCAAAAAAAACTCTTATTATGGGCACCGATGATTCGTTCGGATATCGCGACGGATGTGGCCAGGAATCGAATTGAGGTCACCTGGTTCATAACACAGTGTGCTGTTGTCCCAGCCATGAAATATACCAATGGAGTTATATGAGAACACATTCACAAGTGTGTATTCTCTGCTATGGTATACGGATCAGAATCATGGACACTGCCAAGATAATGGAACAAAATAAAAAACAAAGTGCACAATGTATGGATGAGGTGCAAGCTTGGAGTTATAATGAGAGACAACAAGTAAACCCGTAAAAACAAAGTTTTTCACTCTAAATCCTTTATATGCGTGGCGGCTAGAGTTCTCTCGTCCTCTGGCTTGAGATGGCTGCAATCTATGGGTCAGATGATTGTCTGCCAGTATTAAGCAATTGGTAATTAAATATTTAATTAGTTTTCCCTAAACAGTGTAAAATTTTGGAGAAAAAAATTTCACGAAAATTAATTGTCACACACAACGAGTCTGTGTGGAAAATGTCAAGTCGATTGGATCACGGGAAGTGGGTTAAAAAACGAGCGAAAGATTTGCACGGTCCTAAGCAAGCAAGCGAACTTAATATAAAGGATTTAAAAATATATTCGCCTGAGGAGGACGCGGGGATCGATCCCGCGACCTTTGGCATGGGAAGCGAGGGCGCTACTAACTGCGCTACTCCACCACGGCCTGTGGAGGGGTTACGCTCTGGGCTCTTGCACTGTGATGTTCAGCCAAAGCCATGAATGCGTTCTATTTGAATATATGTAAAATATTTTTTTTGCCTAAAAAGTGTAAAATTTTGGGAATTTTTTTTCACGAACAATAATTGTCTGGCACAACGAGTCTGTGTGGAAAATGTCAGCTCGACTGGATCACGGGAAGTGGGTTAAAAAACGACCGAAAGATTTGCACGGTCCTAAGCAAGCAAGCACGCGAACTTAATATAAAGGATTTAAAAAGAGCAACACATGGATTAGCCAACCATCACACGTTAGAGACTTCACATTGACTGTTAAGAACAGTAAGTGGCATCGGGCAGGATACGTTCATAGAAGGGATGCCTGCGGGCGGTCGAGGGTAATGATGGAGTCGCAGTCAACGAGAGGGAGGTGCACTTGAGAACATGGCCCCATGGACAGGGAGCAAAGAGATACATTCGTGTGCAGGACTTGGATTGCTGATGAGAAAGAGATGGTGGCGGATTGTGGAAGTCTTCACCCAGCAGCAGACAGATCATGGCTGCCAATGATGCCATGCAACGTGATGTCAATGCAGCCATATGCAATGACATGCATGAAGTCTTGGTTGGAGCGCGGCATGAGTTCGATTCCCGGCCACGGATAACATCAGTGGCAAGTCCTTTCTGAATTGGTCCTGGGGGAACCCTACTTGCACAAACCTGCACTGACCCGTGCGGTGAAGTATCATCAAACAACTCCCCCGCGACTGATGTGGCATGGGGAGCCCTTCATCCAGCAGTGGATTTATGGGTTGCGATTCTTTTTCACATGTAGTCATACACGATGGCACGTATACAACCAAATACACACCATATTACAAATCAAGCAGTGCTGTATTGCATTACAGTAACTCTACGACTGTACTACAAATGAATTGGTGTTTGCTGCTGTTGCGTTGGCAGCAGTGCAGAAAGCAAAAGTAACCAGAACAATCAACACATTGGTCAATAAGAGTGGCCCCAAAAAATATATATAAAACAGCCGACGTTTCGGGCAACCACCCTGTGTTATGAAGGGCCATTATCAAAACGTCGCCTGTTTATATACAGGTAGTCCCCGACTTACGACGGAGATGTGTGACGACGACCCCATCGTAAGTCGAAACTGTCGTAAGTCGGAGCATCGTAAGTCGGGGACTACCTGTACCGTGTGTAAGTCTAAGGGCACACAGTCTTGAATTGTCTTTACGACCGCACACGCAGTTTTTTTTTTCTCTTTAAAAAAAAAGGGAACCTCATCACCTCCTTATCCTTCGACACAAGGCAAAGTCTGAGCAGCGCGCGAGGCTGCTGAACCAATGCAGCTCCTGCAGACTGAGCGCAGGGCACAGCCTCGTCGACGACACCCTGCCGAGTCATGTCTGTGTCGAGACGGCACATTCAGCCCCCCACCACCACCACCGCCTCCTCCTCCCTCCTGCACCCAGTCCTTCGCGGCACAAACAGCCGCGAAGGGGGCAATGTGTGTCGGCGTATGATGCCATCGGCACGAGTGCTGTACAGTCGTCTTTTCTGTGTGTGCGTGGGTTCACCCCCTCCCCCCCCCTAGGTCGACTCAGCCTCGAATGGGTACCTGGTGTGTAAACGTCGCCACTGGGGAGACAAAGGCGGCCGGGCGTGGTGTTGGCCATTCACTCTATCGTGTGCCGTGCAGTGCTGGCCTTTATAGGTGCTCGCTAAACAGCACTTGCCCTAGCAGTCTGTTAAAGGCTACACGCGTATGGGTAGTCTTTGTCTGTATTCGTGTACCGGGGAGCGGTGGTGTAGCGGTTAGCGCGCTGCGCTACGCGACCCGGCGGCCCGAGTTAAGATTCTCGCTCACGGCCAACACCAAGCGACGATTAATTTTGAACCGGTCCTAGGTCTCCTCCCCTGGGTCGACTCAGCCTCAAACGAGTACCTGGTGCGACGTGTAAACGTCGTCCCGATGACGGGGCCCCGGGTGAGCAAGGCTTCGAAGCGCCAGTGCGCTGACCACTACGCCCCCGCATCCCCATCACGCATCACTGTCGACGTGCACGCACATGCGCACGGAGCGGTGGCGCAGTGGTTAGCGCACCGTGCTCCCGAGTTGCGAGTGATATCAAGACCGGCTGCCGGCCTGAATTGCCCAATCTCTGTCGACTCAGCCTTTAAAAATTAGTGTCTCGTTCGGTGTCCGCGTGTGTGATGCTGGCCATAACCGGGTGTCCGTTCGTATGAACTTCTTCTGCACCCTACGTAGTCAACCGTGTTGATCTGGAGGTGCGTGTGCTCGTTGTTCGTGCGCCGTGTAACATCAAATAGGCGCTCGCTCACCAACACGAAGTGGGGGGGTGTCTTTGTACGCAGGACTGTAACCATCACCACACAGATTATTATTGCGCTCTCACCACACGGCATTTCCAAGAGGATCCCAGTTGTATCATAATCTTCATCCTCATCATCACCAACATCATCGTCATCATCATTAGGTCACGTGTGGCCCAACTTACGACAGACACGTTTATTTTTATCTTCTCAAAAAGAGAGTGAGGATGGGGAAGGAGAGACGAGCGAGGCAGGGAGAGGGGACGGGGAGACAAGCAGGAGGAGGGGGGGGGGAGAACGAGAGGCAGGGCAGAGAGAAGGAAAATGAGGGGAGATATAAGAAGGCAAGGGGAGAGAGAAGAGAGGCAGGAGAGAGAGAGAGAGAGAGGGGGAGGGAAATAGGCAGAGGAAAGCGAGGTAGGGGAGAGAGAGAGAGAGGAGAGAGGGGCAAGGGGGGAGAGAGCGAGCGTGGAGAGACATATGAGAGTGGTGGGGGTTGGGTTGGTGGAGAGAGAGAGAGAGAAAAGGGAGCGCAGAAGGAACGTGAAGTCCGTGTGTACGGGGAGGTCACTTGGAGGGCACGCGAATGCGTGGAGGCGGGGAGGGGAGGGGAGGGGGACATCAGCGATGACTGTGGACACGCGGCCACCCCAGGCACACGCAGCGTGCCAACACGCGCCTGCATTGCTGCTGTGTTGTGTGTGCTTGCGGAATCCCCATGCCTCCCTTGCAAGAGAGAGAGAGCGATGTTTCACCTGAATGAAGCTCTCACCTGATTATGCAGATTTCTGTGTGCGCAGCGCTACGAACGCGGCCGCCCGAATTCGATTCGCGCTCACGGCCAACATCAGCGACGATTGTCTGAACCGGTCCTGGGGCTGCCCCCCTCACCCCTCTAAGGCGACTCGGCCTCAAACGAGCACGTGTCTGGTGCGGTGTGTAAACGCATCGCCACTGGGGAGACAAAGGCGGTCCGGGCGTGATTGCTGGCCATATCGCCCGCGCCGTGCGCTGGTCTTCATTGGTGCTACTCGCTAAGGAGCGCTTGCCCCAAAAGTATGTCAAGGCGACACCGCGGCATCTTTGTGGTGACATCAACTCGTTGCACGGGCGCGAGGTGGATTGTGAACGTCGTGGAGAGAAGGCGACAACACGCGGGTGAAGGTTTTCTTCATCCGGCAGTGGATTGATCACGGCTCGCATATATAATTTACAGTCGTGTCAATCGTTACAGCTGGACTAAGGCATCCTCCCCCACCCCGCGTCGGTCACGAGAGTTGTGGTCATACTTCACCGCGCTGGTCAATGCGGGTTTGCGAATGGGGGGGTCAGGCGTGCGAACCCAGGATCGGTTCAGACCAATTCGCCACTGATCTTTGCCGCGAATCGTTGACTAATAAAGAAGAGACGTGTTCACAGCGCGGTGCGCTAAACCACTGCGCCACCGCTCCACCCCGATATATATTTTGGGTGCTGTGCAGAAACAAAGACGTCACCTATACTGCGAGCGCAAGTGGAAGCACCGATGTCTGCGAGTGGCGTGTTAAGAATTTCGCTTACGCCTTACCCGCCTTCATCTCCCCCGAGTGCCGATGGTACACGGGGATTTTGGGCCGAGTCCACCCACGGGAGACCCACAGACAATATTCAGAGCAGCCCCACGCTGCCTTCTAGGCATGGCGCGGAACAAAATAAAGACACCCACTAATGCCTGCCCTGGTAGTTAATGAATTTAGTGGTGGTACAACGCACGTTTATCGGTGTAAAGTGAATGCATTTGGGGTAGCTACCTCTTGAGACAAATAATCGGCGAGGTATCCCGGGACAAAGAATACTGTATCACACAATAGCAGGAGAGCGAGGGACTGCACGTGCATGCATTGACGTGAGCGGTAAATCATAGTACTGTGTATTGCAAAAAAACCGGACATAAACAAATCCAGGACTTTTAATGTCCCGGGGAAAGCTACCTTAAAAATCAAGCGCAGACAAAATTGAACGTACATGGCAAAGTCATCGGCAGATCCAAGAATCAACATCTCTCTTTGTCTTAGTGTATTGTGTGTGTGTGTGCAAATGTTCATTTGGTAACACCCATGCATAGCAAAATCCCAAGTTCCCACGTCTCTGTTCAGAGATGATTTAAATAGATGAGGTCAGAGGGACCTCAACTGATTATGAAGAAAATTAAAATGTGAGTGTGTTGTTGGCAGCAGTGCATAAGCACAAAAAACCCCAACATTCCTTAAAAACCTGAAGGAAAAGGCGATGTAGCAAGCGACGTTTTGGGTAATGGCCTTTCTTGATAGGAAATACGTCACCTGTTATGTGTGTATATATTATTAATTTTAGTGCATTTTTATAGACGAAATATTTTCAGTTTATGAGTATAACGACGGGAGGATCTGGCCGACTATATTGGTGACTGCACGGTCGAGCGGCTTCAAATGCATGGGGCCTTAGCGCCACCTGATGACTGACGCTGCAACACTGCAGCCCAGAGGTCGCAAACGGGTTTAGATTCCTTACCCGTACCCGGCCGTACCAGGGTCGCAAATGGTTACCCGTACCAGGCCGGGTACCCGTTCCCTACCCGTACCCTACCCGATATTGAGTGACAAACGGTTACTCACCAGTGACTCACGGCCTACCCGTACCCGTATCCGGCCGCACCAGGGTCGCAAACGGCTACCCGTACCCGGCCGGGTACGTGTAGGGTACGGGTATCGGGTACCCGGTTGCGACCTCTGCTGCAGCCTGCATGTTTTTCTGCCGCGTGTGCGTTCACTCAATTTGGAGAAGGCACCTCAATCAGCCAGACCATGGAGGGGCGGGGGGGGGGGGTCATACGACCACACAACATTGTCAGTTGCGGGGAGTTGCAACGTTATGTTGATCTGTACTGATCATTTCATTTAATCTATGTGGAGTGAAACTTGCCTGTTCCCAGGTCAAATCGAGAGGCTTGTAAAGTGTTAAGGATATTGCTGGTAAGGGATATTGCTGGTAACAGATAAAAGTAGCAGCCCTGCAATTGCTTGCTCACCTCACCGAGGTGGAAGGACCTCCACTGAAGAGAGTTATAAGAACATCTTGTGAGGATGTATGGCCTACAATTTCACGCCAGACAGACGTCTTACAATCGGCAGTAATACTGTATGACAAATTAAGTTAACAACCCACACATTCCGCTTTGTCTGGAATGAGTGTACATTAACTATTAAGTCTAGCGACAGGTAAACAAATACAGCATTTAAAATGGCATTTTCTTGAAAGAAAAATCACCCGAATTTAAATTACACATCGGCAGGTAACCTGCTCATTGCATACAAATTCATTTACATTTAACATTTGTAAAATCTGCAGCCCTTAAGTTTTTAGCTCTATAGCTTTTCTGTGCATTTGAGCTGAACCAAAGGCCCTGCACATTTTAAACATTCGCTCAGTAATAGCCCAGGTTTGTGCAAACATCACAATAATTTTAACTTGCAATGCACTGGCTCGCTATCAAAGCCCGAGGACAACTCGGAACCACAGACAAGCGAGAAATGCAGCCGATGCAGTGAGCCGGTGCAAATTTTCCCCAAGCTCTAGCGGTCCTCGATATATCATTACACACAAAGTGCATGCCAGCAATGAACCACGACACCTTGCCGATCTGGTCAAGGAGCATAAACCATCACACAGACTCTGGTCATCCGCACGGCGGTTTTTGGCTAACCACCGAACAAAGACGGTCACCGGATCACGCGCTTTCAGATGCGCTTCTGCGGCCGTCCGGAACGCTCTTCCTTGCAATATTAGGAAGCCACTGGAGCTATGCACTTTTACATTATCTGGATTGAAAATGGATTTCTTTAGAGCTGCTTTTTGTGTTTAGTTTGTTGTCTTTCCCCCGCACCACCGATTAGCGCGACTGGCTACGTACGTACGGTGCGTAAGAAGTTCAACATACATGTATACATGTGAAGGAGCAAACGGGGCAACACTATATCCCGTACAGATGGAACAGGTCGTTCCCATATTTGCTGTATCGCCTTCTCCTGACGAGCCAGGATATGGCTCCTCCGCTGTGCCCACGTGAAGGGAGTTTCAGAACCATTTGTGCGATCTAACAACCCTCGCCTGCATAGCGCTGGATTGCAGGGTTGCATAGCCACCATCGCCCAGCTAAGAGAGCACTTAAAGCACCTGTCAACTTCCTGAGATAGGTAAAAGTCCACCAGGACTACACCCGTGTTTCAAACACTTAGAACAAAACCCAGAGTGGAAGACTATGGAATAAAAACCAAACAGCAACATTCAGAAGCACTGGTAGAGCACTGGTGGCGTTGAGATTACACGTGGGCCTAAAGGCACGGTACCACATATGTCTGATCGAATTCCTCTCGAAATCGCAAAACGAAATTAGCCTCCAACTGCTTTGTCCACATCTGAGAAAGTCGTTGCGCAACAACAAAATTAAGCTGGACAGCAATAACCAAATGTGTCACATGAAATATCTCGCAACAAATCACCGAGTCGATCAATGCCTGAGAGTCCATCGTTTCTATGAGCAACCGGTTGTGCAACTGCTCGCAACTGGTTGCCGAGAAGTCCACATACCAGAAATTCTATTTCCTGTAAGAAAGTTGCGCGCAATTTATCGCTCCAGGTGTGGACCCGACGCCGCCCTCCTTCCCTGCCGCCAGAGGGCCAGCTACTCCCAGCCTACTCGGAGATAATGGAGCAGATGACAAATATGGATGTGGGAGGGAGGTGACAGGACATTCAAGTAACAATGACACACGTTAAACAAATACGGGGCACGCCAGGATCACACAGCCATTTTTCTGTTCCGATGGTTTTTTTTTTCTGTTCTCATCGTTTACAGATTTGATTGAACACCAGCATTACCAAGCGAGACTATTTCAACTACGGCAAAGGAGATTAATAGTCTGGAAATTTCCACCCCCACAGCCACAATAGGCTTAAGCAGGCACAGAACGCTGTTTCCTCCGCACTCCCTTGGATTAGCCCGCGCCTACTTAATCCCATCGCGATGACGGAGGCGTCTTGAGACTTCCGATGACAAACTCGACGCGCGACGATCGTCGGCACCACCATCACTGGCGGCGGCGGCGATGACGATGTCAAAGCTGGAAGCGCTGCTTGACCTCGTCGGCGATCATGCGGGCGATGGACAGCGAGGAGGTGGCGGCGGGGGAGGGGGCGTTGCGAACGTGCATCACGCGGCTGCCCAGCGACCCCTGACCCCCGTCGAAGACGAAGTCGTCCACCAGGTTGCCGTCGCGGTCCAGCGCCTGGGCGCGCACCCCCGACGGGCCCCTGCGGGGAAGAAGCGACGGTTGCCATCGTGCCGTCACCTTAATCGTCATTATCGTCATCACCGTCATCACCGTCATTCCCGCCATCTCGTCACTGTCTTTATTTATTATCAGCATCATATTCGTCATTTTAATTATCGTCATCATCGTAGTAGTCATTCATCGTTATTATTACCACCAATGTCATCATCATCATCACAATCTGAGTCGTCTTCATTTGAATCATCAGAATCTTTATTTGTCTTGGAGGAATCTGATGAGCTCCGAAGCTCTTTTTCACGGATTTACAGTCGGGGCAGGTCAGCTGAGTTACATCTTCGTCATCACACAAATGCCATTTTGTCAATCCACAGCTGGATGAGGGCCTCTCCACGCCGTGTGAGTCGCGGGCGGTTTGTCGACAGTACTTAACCCGTTGCTGCTGAGCGCTGGTTGAAGTGTCTCACAATCCGGGGAATATGGAAAAGGCAGACGGGGCAATCGTGTCGAATACGGCTGGGTAATTGAGGTTCAATGCCGCAAAAACTAGGTCACGACGCTGGCACATATTTTCTAGAACCTTGATATTCAACAGCTGTAATTGCAAAGGAAAAATTAACAAATTCTGAAAGCGAATTGTGGATGCAGGAAAATACACAAAAAGTTAATGCATCGGCAATTCTTAATGGTTAACAACAACAAAAACACTTGTCTTGTGAATAAGTGTCAATCCACTCACTCGGGTCAATGTTCCAACCGAGTGGGTAAAAGCAGTGGGTCAGTGAAGTCAGCCGTGACGCCTTCCCCGCATTTGGTCGAAAACCGAGATGAATTTTGGGGTGGAGTGGTGATGCTGCGGTTAACGAGGCTGCGTTGGCTGGGTCATGCAGCCCGCATGTGCTGCCCTCTGCTGTACCACAGGTGGCTGAAATGGATCTCAAGAGCAGTTCTTTGAAATCCACTTTCTTGAGCCGTTCGCGAACGCGAGGGCTCGCAATGCTCTGCGAGAGATCGGGATGGATACTTATTTCGCACCGTACGTAGCCAACCGTGCTAATCAGAGGATTGTGCCATCGGTGATGTGACACCGAGGGCACGATCAGGATAAAATTGTATGACAAGTTTACAGAATAAATATATTTATCAGCGTACGTACGCACGCATGTCAGAATCAGAAAATGTATTTATACTGGAGGAATCCGATGATCTTTAAAGCTCTTTTTCACAGGTGTCCATGTGTACGCACTTGTGCGAGTCGGAGACACTCACCGTGTTACGTCGGCGAGCGTTATCTCGGGGATGTATCTCTGCAGCAGCTTCACCTGCGATCCGATGAAGATGCTCCGATACATCTCGCTCATCCCCTTCGATATGTTACGCAGCACCAGCTTCTGCAGTCCTCTGTAACACACGTCGGACGTGGCCAACGCCCGTGGCTTCTCCAGAACTGCCAACGGATAGATCCACAACCACCTCACAGACAATTTAAGTGTTTCAGTGTCGGCGCTGCACTTTCATTCCTGGCGAATCAAGAAAATCGACCCAATCTATGGTGCATTTTTGGCAGTCGTTGATTCTTAATGACCCTTTGTCAATTCATGTGGGTTGTTTGACCACGCTTCACCACGAATCTCATACAGGTCGCTGCACTCATAGCGCAGCGTGCTAACCACTCCGCCACCGCTCCTCCCACTCTTATTCCACCTCTTTCCAGACATTACTGTTTCAGTCAAAGCAGAGATACATGTGCAACGCTATTGTAAATCCGCCGCCGGATGAGGCCTCACCAAAGCGGTGCGGGTCGTGGGGGTTATCTGACCATACTTTACCGCGCCAGTTAGCGCGGGTTGGAGAAGGCCATTTATTTTGGGTTGCTGGTAAGACTGGAGCAGTCCTTGTGACAGGCCCGCAGAGCAGCCACATCCATCGGGAGGCGCATACGAAACGTGACGCGTCGGGCGCGACAAACATTTTTCCGGGTCGTCCACTCGGACGGACCCTGCTGGGACGAAGCCGTGTCCACGGACGTGGGCGGGGGGGGGCGGCACCTAAAGAAGATGGCGTCGAGGAAGTCGCGGGCGCTGAAGTCGAGGAGGCGGTAGCCCTCGCGCTTGAACGCCAGCACGGCGTTGGGGCCCAGCCAGATGGTGCCGTCCATCCTCGGGGTGAAGTGCACGCCCAGGAAGGGGAACCTGGGGTCGGGGACCTGCACGGACCGCAATGCAGGATAATGATGCCCTCTCCGGGTCACGAGATGCTCCAGAGAGTAAAAACGCAACCCTCAAAACTTTGGGGGGGGGTCATTTCGAGTTGTGTGTTCTAATTGTTATTGTGAATGTGCCAACAGAATGAATGCGTCATTAGCCAATGCCCCTGGCCCGACTTGGCCCCGAGCCAGATTCGTGAGGTCAGCGTAGCGCGGTTTGGTTTTGGCTCGGCATGGGAAATATCCGACGGAAAACCACTTGTAGCATCAGAGGGTTTCCTCCTGGCTTGGTTAAGCCAGAGGAAAAGGGGTAAGAGAGACCGTTGTTATCTTCTTGGTTCTTTCGGTAAAGTCACGTAGAAGGGAAGTAATAAAATAATAAAAATAAAACATAACAAAATAATTCTCACGACGTTTCGGTCACAACGCAAGCAGCCGTCTTCAGGTGGAAAACAGGTCTGTCGAGAAGGCAGAGTCTGAAACGTCGTGAGAATTATTTTATGTTTTATTTTTATTATTTTATTACTTCCCTTCTACGTGACTTTACCGAAAGAACCAAGAAGATGAATCCCTGCAGTCACGAAAGCTTTAAATCGAAATTTAGACCATTGTTAGTTGCATGGTTTTGTATACTCCTCTTGCGCTCTCTCGCGATTAAGAATCTTCATTCATATTTGTAACTTCATCTCAATTCCCTCTCTGACCTGCATAATTCTACGCCCATTTGAATCCCTTTTCCTCAAACTCTCTACACGTGCATGATTGCTCCTATTTGTGCAGCGAATTTGTAAGTGGTTGCACGAGCAGAGTTTATCAACTCCACAGTTCATCTTTCCATGATTGCCAAACCACGAGGTGCCCGCAAAGTACAATGGCTTCGAATCCATACGAAACTAAAATATTGGTAATGAAAAGCGGAGTTGAGCAATGTCAATTTAGGCATTTAATAAATCCAAGTTGTGCTGCATCGTAGTGCTTGGCACGCGATGACCGGCTTACAACGCATCTCATCCAAAGAAATAGAAAGGGCACCCCCAGTGGCAGCTGCCCCTGTGGTAGCAGGGGTGCGTGGCTGCTCACGGGGTAGATGCTGCCCTTGACGAGGTAGGTCTTGTCGGGTTTCAGCACCAGGTAGTCCCCGCGGAACGGCACGATGCGAGGCTCCGAGCTGCAGCCGGAGAGGCGTGACAGACGGTCGGAGTAGAGGCCGCCGCACGTCAGCACGAACCGGCAGTGCACTTCCTCCCCCTGTTGCACGCGCGCACGCACGCACAAATACCCCCTGTGTAGCCTTAACTGACCGTCGGCTACGTACGGTGCGAAAGAAGTTCAACATACATACATACATGTTCTGTTCTCGAGCACTTATGAAGGCCGGCACGGCACACGAGGGGGTGGGTGGACAGCACCACGCCCGACCGCCTTTGTCTCCCCAGTGGCGATGTTTACACACCGCACCAGGTACTCATTTCAGGCCGTGTGGTGGAGGTTTCCTAACGTCACAAATTTGGTCTGATCGTTACGTAAGTGGCCTAAGCCGAAAATCTATTATGAATCCCAATATTGTGTTGCGAAAAACTACACGTGAAGTCGATGGTATCAATGTTAGAATGAACTCTGACCTTTTTTCCAGTCACCGTGATTGGGTATTTCATTCCTGCAAAAAACAAACAAAATATAACGTTTCGCATTAACGGAACTGTCCGTCAAAATACAACGCAACAAATGCACCGATTAAAATCGGTTCTGAAGAGCTCACGATACGTGCATCGAATTGCGTGCGTAAGAATCGCTGATTTACGATTCGCATAGGTTTATACGAATGGGTGAATGCGACTCTTGCAGCCACGAGCGGCCGCTACATTTAGTGCAATGTAAAAAAAGAAATGCTTCTGGAAATGAACCTTGACCCTCAATGAAGACAATTCATTAAATTACTACAAGGGGCGGGGGCGTTTCAAGCTTTACACCTCGAACACAAGTGGTGATATACAGTTACATACATGCAACCAAATAACATGTAACATAGATGATCAGTGTGGTCATGTACTTGACCATTGTGGTCATGTAAGGTAAAACAACCCCCACGACCTGCACGGTGTAGGGAAGGCATTCGTCCAGCAGTGGAATGACAGAAGTCTCGAATATAGCGGCCAACTGCCACTACCGATCTGATGGCATCGGCTCATTCGTGGGCGCTCGCCGCATAGTCACACCGCATCACCGCGACAGATGGCGACGGGCTTGGGGAGGCCTTCATCCAGCGGTGGATCGGTCAGGGCTGATGTCGATGCTGTTGCCGACGACGACGACGATGAAAGCACAACGAACAACTCTCATACCCTCCGCGCCGCCCGCGGCTCCCTCGGCCGTCTCGCGAAACCCGGACACGCAGAAGCCCGTGCGGATCTCCCCGCCCATCTCCACGAAGTCGCGGCCGTAGCTGCGGGCGACCTCGGCCCAGTCGACGATCCCCGTGTAGGGCGAGTCCAGGGCTTTGATTCCCTGAGCCGATAAAAACCGCGCGGTCACGGGCGAATGACCCCGAGCCTCGGAATCGAACCTCGACGCTGAACCCCGTGTGGGTAACTTCGCAGGCCGGCCCAGGTTTCGCGCCGGGACAAGGGAAGAGGCTTGGACGTCACGCAGTGGTGGCGCGTTTGCTGCTCGTTCCAGCGGGTTTGGGGGTTCGAGTCCAGCGGTTAATACCGCGGGTGTATTCCCCACAAATACCGCCCCGCGGTCTGATTCACGGTGAACGTTAAAGATCCCGTGATGTTGATCGAAAGTGGGTCGGGCCGTGCGTGTTAACACCCGAATTTCCCAAATTTGAAATAACTACCCGCAAATTACATCAGTGGGTGCACGCACACAGCAACATCGCCCCCCCGATACTGAAAAACTACCGCAAGCCGTGCCTGTGAAACGTAGCACCTCCGCGATAACCTTAGCGCTATGGCAAGGTATGGCGCGAGTACAAAACGTGCCGATGAAATTATTTGAATCAGGGCCTTGCTGCAAGAGCCCGGAGCCACGCGGCACGGGCCAGCGAAGGCCTCGTAGCCCAGCGGTCGCGGGAACGCAGCGACGGATATGCATTTGAAACTGACCCAGGGAGTGTGACCCAGCGGGCGGGCTCCCCCCTACCTTGCAGTGGGGCTCCCTCTCCCGGATCTCCTGCTCGCCGACCAAGCGCAGGTCGCGCACGTTGTTCTGCAGCCCCCGCGCGTACAGGTCGTCCAGGCGGGGCAGCTCCTCCCGATCAACCGCGACGATCAGCTGAGAAGAAACCAGCGTGCCGCCGCGCGTGATCGAACGCGTATCGTTTTTAGTCGAGGGGTCGGCAATAATAGGATCCATTTTTTTCCACGAAATCGGCAAGGGATAAATAAATACACAGATCGACGTTCGGAGAGCCGCAATGCATGTGAATAACATCACGAAGCGGCGCTTACAAGTGCCGCGTGCGGCTCTGGAGTTCTGGTATTAAATCGCAACCGAATGAAAGGCACGCCGTACGATTCTCTGCAGCCTGGCACACGCGGGCACATCCCCCAGCTGATGCCGACCCCTGGTTTAGTCGGTCAGCGTGTAACGGGGTAAGGGGTCGGGTACTCTCGCCTCTTCCAAGACATACGGTCGGCATGGAAACGAGGCCCGAATGCCTTCCAGCAGGGCTCTCTAGAGCTCCCTCTAGTGGAGGCACCCTCTGGCGGCAGCGGTGTGAGCAAGACATCGTAGGGCCGAATCTTTACACTTCTGCCACTCCTTCTCTAACCCCGCCCATCTTCCTTCTCTAACCCCGCCCACTTACCCTTGGGCTGCATCCATCTGAGGCCTATATAACACCCTGCTTCAGCAGCTCTCTTTGCTATATTTTTTCACCTGAGGACGATTGCGTGTGTTGCGATCGAAACGTCGTGATTTTTTTTATTTTTATACCTCCGTGACTTTACCGAAAGACCCAAAGAGTATGAATTCCTGCAGTCACGAACGCTTTAAGTCAAGAAGATTTATAACAGGCGACGTTTCGGGCAATGGCCCTTCTTCATAGCTATTATAATTGCTACGTCATCAACAAAATGGTGACACGATTAATATTTTCTCCGTTAATTTCTCCAGGTCAACTTTAGGAACATCTTCTCAAGTCGCTGCGAATTACTTCCCAGGCGTGTCGCCTCGACTGACTCCACTGCAAATGCGTACGCCGATACTCTCTTCGTGCAACGTCAGTGAAGCTGTACTATTTAATTACATCTACCCCGGTCATTAAATCACAACAGAATGAAAGTTACTCTCTGTGTTTCTCTGCAGCCCAGCATGCGCGGGCACATCCCAGCTGACGCCGCTGCTCCAGACGCAAGTGCCGAGTCGAACGACCCTCCCCTTGCACCGACTGGATTAACGACTTGCACTGCCAAGCGCTAGGCCGAAACCCAAGCCGCCCACTATTAGTCGTTTAACTGCTGTGTTGTCTCACTGCACGTACAGTAATAACTCGCTATTGCCGCGGTAATGCCCGATTCAAAAATGCATCATCACAACCGTGCACTCCGCTATTCCCGACGCAATTATCCGGCTCCACCGCCTCAATATAGAATAATAGGTTGTTGCTCTACATCAACAACAGACTTACCAAGCTGTGCTCGTAACGATTCCACCTTTGTAACGAGCGTAGCTGCGGGGACGCGTCATCTTGTGTGGATTTTTAAAGCTCCGTACAGCGACCGCGTTATGTCCGTGAGCCGGCGTATAACGATCGTACGCACTGCCACATATCCTATCATCGTTCGTTTCTTTACAGCATACACTGTGCTCTACAAGTGAATGGTGTAACACCCAGACACCAGTGCATAATGATTTCATTTTGCATTTGACCAGGAGACCTGTGCAAACGCATACGGTATCCGCACGTACGGAGCGATGCATCATTGTGCTCATGTGTTGCTATAAAGGCCTTGTTAACATCGTCATTAAAACACCCTGATAAGAGTGAACTCTCTTCCGGATCCAGGAAGTGGTTCGTTATAACAAGGTAATACTGTGTGTGTATATATAAGTGGGGAGCAGTGGTTAGCGCACTGCGCTACGAACCCGGCGACCCTGAGTATGATTCCTGCTCACAGACAACACCAGTTACGATTATCTGAACCAGTCCTGAGCGTCCCTTACGTCGACTCAACCTCAAATGAGTAACTGCTACGATGTGTCATCATTTCACGAGGGAGACAAAGGTGGCCGGGCGTGGTGCTGGCCACCCACGCCCTCGCGTGCCGCGCCGGCCTTCATCGGTGCTCGCTAGCAACACTTGCCCCAACAGTCTGTTGAGGCTGTACGGGGGAATCTGTGTATCTTTGTTGGATAGATACACACGTACAGCCCATTTTTTAATCCATTTGTCAACCGACTTTCCATCGGAAGAGATCGACGCGTCGCGGCGCGTTGCCACGTGCTGCCACGCGTCACGTGATCTGGGGATCAGATCGGTGACCCCCCCCCCCAACCTCCGGATCCGCAGCCTCCCCCTGACCTTTCCGCAGCGCTTGTAGGGGATGCCCTTCTTGTCACAGTACTCGTAGGCAAGGTCCGCGCCCTGCACGCACAGCTTCGCCTTCAGCGAGCCCGGCTTGTAGTAGATGCCGCTGTGGATCACTCCGCTATTGTGGCCGCTCTGGTGGCTGGCTGCACGCACAGACACGTACAAGAGCGGACAAGGATCTCCCCCTCTGACCGTCGGAGCGAGTGCTGTTAGCAGGCGCCCATTGAGGCCGGCATGGTGCTTTTAAGGAGGCATTGAGATTATTTCGATATTTTTGTTGCTATAAATTTCCACGTGATAAGCCACTTTGTTCAGATATAAGTTCATGCCTCAGTGGGCTTCACGTGGTAAGATAAAAATGAAGTTGATTTTACTTGTATATTTTCAAGTCATTTATTTACCTTTGCATTCCTATCGTGTTTGTGTATTGTTTGTTGTTGTAACATTCGTACAGGTCCATACTGGACATGTGAGAAAGAGCTTTATAGCTCATCGAATTCCTCCAATATGAATATTCTGATTCTAATGTGGCCAGCACCGTGCCCGACCACCTTTGTATCCCCAGTGCTGATATTTACAACACTGCACCACCAGGTATTAATTTAAGGCCGGGTCGATCTAGGGGGGTCCCAAGACTTGGTGAGATATCCGGCACTGATATTGATCTCGAGTGGGAACTGAACTCGGGGTCGGCAGGTTTGTATCACTGCGCATTAACCACTATGCTACCACTTCCCATGTATGCTACCACACACACACAAAAGACAAAGATCCCCCGTATAACCTTAGCAGACTTTTGGGGCAAGTGCTGTTCGCGAGCAGCTTTGAAGATCGGCATGGCACACAAGGTGGGTGGCCGGCACTACGCCGGGCCACCTTTGTCGACTGAGTGGCGATTTCGATTTAAAGTTTTCGTGACTGCAGGGATTCATCTTCTTGGTTCTTTCGGTAAAGTCACGTAGAAGTAAATAATAAAATAATAAAAATAAAACATAATAAATTAATTCTCACCACGTTTCGGCCACAACGCAAGCATTCAGACGCTGTCTCCCCGACAGACCTGGTCTTCACCTGAGGACGGCTGCTTGCGTTGTGGCCGAAACGTCGTGAGAATTATTTTATTATGTTTTATTTTTATTATTTTATTATTTCCCTTCTACGTGACTTTACCAAAAGAACCAAGAAGATGAGTGGCGATGTTTACACACCGCACCGCCGCCGCCAGCGATGTTGGTACTCGTTTCAGGCCAAGCCAACTTGTGGGTGGCCCGGGACCGGTTGAGATAATTGTCACCGGTGTTGGACGTGAGCGGCAATCTCGGGCTGGTATCGCAGTGCACACACTCGGTCGCGGCCCAATGGCCCTGTGGCTCACCGACAGCTCTCTCCTTCTCCAGGATGATGAAGGAGAGGCTCGGGTGGCGCAGGAGCAGCTCCCGCGCCGACGCCAGCCCCACGATGCCACCGCCGACAACCGCCACGTCGTACGACGCCGGCGTGGCCGTCGCGCACGATGCATCCGCGCCACCGCTGCCGCCCCCACGCGAAGAGAAAGGCAGAAGTGGGTCGTGCGGGCGAGTCCATCGGCAGGTCTCCAGCGGCGGGGCAAAGTGTGGGTACACCCAACCTCTGGCTAAAGACGTCTGGCCACCGTGGAAGAGTCGGCCGACTTACAAAGGGGCTCTCTAGGGCTCCGTCGAGTGCAGGACCTTCTGCCAGAAATGGCGCCAGCATTGCTGTCGGGGAAAGTGCTGTTGAGCGAGCAGCTATTACGTCTGGCACGGCACACGAGGCAGTGGTGTGGTCAGCACCACGCCCGGCTGTTTATGTCTACTCATTGCTGATGGTTACACCCTCGCCAGGTACATATTTAAGGTGGAGTTGATCTAGGGGAGGGAAGGCCCGGACCGGTTGAGATATTATCAAAAACCACTTATGTTATCCATGGCTTGGAATTCAACTTAGGTCGCTGGGTTCATAATGCAGTGGGCAAACCATTGCACAACAGCTCCCCCCACCCATTACATATTAAATAACTTAAAAAAAATATATATAGGACAGCACAAAAGCTGAAAATAACACAGCATACATATGTTTATACATGATCCCAGTGGAGCTTATGACCAAATCACCCAGAATGCGCCAAATCTCATCAGAACTCGGTAGCTAGGCAGGGTTGAGCCTGGATAATACTTGGATGGGCGACCACAATGCATAACAGGTGTTATAGGCTGCAAAGCTACGTCGACAGCAGTGCAGCAAAATAAAATTTCTGCGCTGTACTTTTATGCCCCCTCATCTACGCTCTCTAATATTCACCAACCGGAACTGACCAACGTGGTGAAGTATGGTCAATTAACCCACACAACCTGCACCACGGGGTGGAAGAAGCCCTCATCCAGCAGTGGACTTACAAAAACGTTGAACATGTGCGTGAACGCAGTGGTTTATGCTTGTTCTGTACATCCAAACCAAGAGGTCCCTTGACTTCAGCAGACAAGTTGCACGCAACCGCAAGCAACCGATCGCTTGTTGATGTGCTATAAAGAAGGGCTATTATAATAATAGGGTTTTTCCCCTTTTTTCTGGCAACAAAACTGAAACCTTTTTTACAAGGATTCATGTCTGCATTAACCACAATACTTGCAGTCAAAATTCAAGCAAAAACACACTATGATAATATATGCATTGTCCTTGAAACTGATTGGTCCACACCAAAAAAAAAAGGAGAAAAACCCTATTATATTTTGGTACTGGCAAAGGAGGTCTAATGAAGAAGGGCCATTTCCCGAAAAGTCACCAATTGCAAAAAAAGAATTCTTCCTCCAAGGCAGTGTTGTTAATGACGTGGTGGAGCTGGCTTAAGGCTGCTTCGCATGTGTTCATGAGACCGGTCTAAACCAAGGTTCGCATGAAAGTCTGACTGACTGGCACAGCAAGTCTTAACTGGACGCCCCAACTGTGGGTTCTGTCTCGACCTGTTTGCCAGGGCGGTCTTGCCCAGGCAAGAACACACGCTGGCTTGGCGCATTCAAGCAAACCGCACAAAAATAATTTGATAATAAATGTTCTAATAAAGTTTGAAACGCAGATGAGCTATGCCAACTGCGTACAATTACTGTACAGTTTTTTACATCACGCAGCAGTATAAATAGGCATGCCACTGTAAGTCCATCAGCAGATCGCGTTTGGTGGGGATAAAGTGTCAGGATTCCATCGTCTTAATCTTAATTAAGCAAGTCTTAACTGGGGCGTCCAGTTAAGACTTGCTGTCTTCCAAGACGGCTGGCCAGGGTGGAAGAGTAGACCAAATACCACCTAGTAGCTCGCTCGATGCTTTGAGGCGTGAACAAGCAATTGCAGGGGTGAATTTTGACCTTGCAAATTTATATCGTCAACAACCTTTGACCAAATCATCTGGATTACATCTAATGTCATCAGATATGGAAAGCTCAGCGGGACTGGGCCTAGACATCGCTTGGAGCAATAATTATCTTTGTGGGCGTCCTCGAGGCAATGGTGGAAATTTCACATTCTAATGGCAGAAACCAAATCCATCCACAGCACAAGCAAGCACTGTGGAAAGTCCGACTCCGGTCAAATTTATATTCATGCCATTAAGTTGAATATAAAGGAGTACTGCACTGTACTCTTAATCTGAGACACACTTTCTCTCCCAGGGAGCAATTGCGATTCAGCAAAAAAAGATACGACTCTCATACTTTCAGCAATGTTTCACCACTGAACCGAATGTCCTGAAATATATGCGATTTTTAAGCAGAGAGATATCATTAACAGCTCCTCGTCTATCCACCGCTGGATGAAGGCCTACTTCACGTCGTGTTTGTCGTTTTCAGCTCACTGCAGGCTGGTAGGACGATGAGAGGGTTGGGTGACACAGGACCGGTTGAGCTTTGACTCGCCACCGATGTTAGCCTGTGACCTGGAGAATCCAAATTCAGGACATCTGGTTGTAATGTGGTGCAGTGCGCTAACCGCTGCACCACCGCTCCACTACGAGTCCGGCCACGTTCAAATTCCAGGCGACGGCCACGAACATCATTGGCGATTCATATCTGGACCAGTCCCGCTCTACCACTGCGCCCCTCGCCAACGTGGTCAAGTGTGGTCAAACGGCTCTCATAATCGACAACGCCGCGGAGAGAGTGATTCGCCGCACCTGTGCCGGGCCCTGGATTCCACCGTCGGCCACCCCCGGGGCACCCGTGCGGGCCCGGACAGCCGCAGGAGTCGCAGCGCCGACGCCATCATCCACGGGCACGAGGCGAGGGGCAACGCGGCAGGGCTTCGGATCCTGGCGTGGGGACATCACACGTGGGGTGAGGAATGGACAGGTAGAGGCAGACAGGTAGAGGTCATAATAAAGGTTTTTGGGTTAGATCGCGTTATTTATTAATGTGTCGTAACCCTCCACCACCCGACACGGCCAAACAGTAAAAAAGTGTCACGTTTACAAAGGACAAATAGTTCACTACTTTAGCCCACCGGTGTGTTGAAGAGTGAATCAACATAATTTAAATTTGAGTACGACGTTTCGCTGGTAATTACATCCAGCTTCATCGGGCAATTTGCCAGAGGTCACCAGCTACGTGGATGGGTGAGAAGACTGCTTCGCTAACTCGTGTGGGAAATGCGTGGACAGGTGATGAGAATTTGGCCTGGTGAACAGGTGAGGTGGTGAGCACGTGGACGAAGAGGTGAGGGCACCTGGGTGAGTGCATAGGGTGAGAAGATAGATGAGCTCAGTCACAGGTGAGTGGAGAGGTGAGACACCAACTCTTTCACGGAATGGTCGTGATGGCAGACCCCCCCAGGTGAAAGAGCGTCTGTACGGATTCTCGAGCGAATGGGTGGACAGGTGATTGGCTAGGTAAGTGGCGAGGTGAGGCTATTGATGAGCGCACAAGTGAGAAGACCGGTGAGTTGAGAGGTGAGCAAATGAACGGATCGGCGAGTCTAATAATCTCACATGTGAGCAGGTGAACTTTAGCAGGTGACACCACAGGTGAGTCGGTGAGCTTTGAGGTGAGCGGATGACCTCACAGGTGAGCAGAGAGACCAGGAGAAGTGAGTAGACTCGGTGAGAGGAGAGATCATCTCACGTGTGAGCGAGCTTGCAGGCGAGTGGGTGAACACGCAGGTGAGTGGGTGAGCTCACAAATGTTGCGATGATATACTGCGGGCAAGCGGGTGAACTCACGGCTGAGTGGACGAACTCACGGGTGAACTGACGGGTGAGTGGGTGAACTGACGGGTGAGTGGGTGAACTGACGGGTGAGTGGGTGAACTGACGGGTGAGTGGGTGAACTGACGGGTGAGTGGATGAACTGATGGGGGAGTGGGTGAACTGACGGGTGAGTGGGTGAACTGATGGGTGAGTGGATGAACTGATGGGTGAGTGGGTGAACTGACGGGTGAGTGGGTGAACTGGCGGGTGAGTGGGTGAACTGGCGGGTTAGTGGACGAACTCACGGGTGAACTGACGGGTGAGTGGGTGAACTGAGGGGTTAGTGGACGAACTCACGGGTGAAATCACGGGTGAGTGGGTGAACTGACGGGTGAGTGGATGAACTGGTGGGTGAATGGGTGAACTGACGGGTGAGTGGGTGAACTGACGGGTGAGTGGATGAACTGGCGGGTGAGTGGGTGAACTGACGAGCGAGTGGGTGAACTGACGGGTGAGTGCGTGAACTGACGGGTGAGTGGGTGAACTGGCGGGTGAGTGGATGAACTGACGGGTGAGTGGGTGAACTGACGGGTGAGTGGGTGAACTGACGGGTGAGTGGGTGAACTGACGGGTGAGTGGATGAACTGACGAGTGAGTGGGTGAACTGGCGGGTGAGTGGGTGAATCTGACGGGTGAATGGGTGAACTGACGGGTGAGTGGGTGAACTGACGGGTGAATGGGTGAACTGACGGGTGAATTGGTGAACTGGCGGGTGAGTGGATGAACTGATAGGTGAGCGGGTGAACTGGCGGGTGAGTGGGTGAACTGACGAGTGAGTGGGTGAACTGACGGGTGAGTGGGTGAACTGACGAGTGAGTGGGTGAACTGACGGGTGAGTGGGTGAACTGACGGGTGAGTGGGTGAACTGACGGGTGAGTGGGTGAACTGACGAGTGAGTGGGTGAACTGACGGGTGAGTGGGTGAACTGACGGGTGAGTGGGTGAACTGACGGGTGAGTGGGTGAACTGACGAGTGAGTGGGTGAACTGACGGGTGAGTGGGTGAACTGACGGGTGAGTGGGTGAACTGACGGGTGAGTGGGTGAACTGACGAGTGAGTGGGTGAACTGACGGGTGAGTGGGTGAACTGACGGGTGAGTGGATGAACTGATGGGTGAGTGGGTGAACTGGCGGGTGAGTGGATGAACTGCTGGGTGAGTGGGTGAACTGACGGGTGAGTGGATGAACTGACGGGTGAGTGGATGAACTGATGGGTGAGTGGGTGAACTGACGGGTGAGTGGGTGAACTGACGGGTGAGTGGATGAACTGATGGGTGAGTGGGTGAACTGACGGGTGAGTGGATGAACTGATGGGTGAGTGGGTGAACTGACGGGTGAGTGGGTGAACTGACGGGTGAGTGGGTGAACTGGCGGGTGAGTGGATGAACTGATGGGGGAGTGGGTGAACTGACGGGTGAGTGGGTGAACTGACGGGTGAGTGGGTGAACTGGCGGGTGAGTGGATGAACTGATGGGGGAGTGGGTGAACTGACGGGTGAGTGGGTGAACTGATGGGTGAGTGGATGAACTGATGGGTGAGTGGGTGAACTGACGGGTGAGTGGGTGAACTGGCGGGTGAGTGGGTGAACTGGCGGGTTAGTGGACGAACTCACGGGTGAACTGACGGGTGAGTGGGTGAACTGAGGGGTTAGTGGACGAACTCACGGGTGAAATCACGGGTGAGTGGGTGAACTGACGGGTGAGTGGACAAACTCACGGGTGAGAGCTGACTGGTGAGTGGACCAAATCACAGGTGAGAGCTGACGGCTGAGAGCTGACCGGTGAGTGGACCAACTCACAGGTGAGAGCTGACGGCTGAGTGGACCAACTCACGGGTGAGAGCTGACGGATGAGAGCTGACCAGTGAGTGGACCAACTCACAGATGAGAGCTGACGGCTGAGTGGACCAACTCACAGATGAGAGCTGACGGCTGAGTGGACCAACTCACAGGTGAGAGTTGACGGCTGAGTGGACCAACTCACAGGTGAGAGTTGACGGCTGAGTGGACCAACTCACAGCTGAGAGCTGACGGAGGTGAATTCGTGGCCGGTCTCTCTGCGAGACGCCCTCTGACCACCGAGCCAACGCGCAAACCACGCGCGCTCACATTCCGTAGACCGCATGCGCCGCGCGAGGCGCTCCCTCTCGCACGCGATTGGCCGACACCCTCCGCCCCGTCGCGCGCCCGTCGACCAATCAACGGCGCCCGTTGCTTATTCGGATTGGGAAAACAAATCGTGACGTCCTAAATTAGGTCACGCCTCCTACGCTGCGTTCTAATTCGAAGTGAGAAGCGCCTCGGGGGCGTCAATGACATTGCGGAGGTGAGGGTCATCGCACCGTGGCGGTTCTGAGGGCATCTCATAAACGCAAAAGTCGACTCTGTGGTAACGAATACGCCAGTATCGACAACATTGAGCGACTGGGAGCTGCGTTTTCTCGGTAGTTGTTTTGGTTTAATGATCGCGCTGTTGTTAATAATTTGACAAATGTGTTCGACTATGAGCTTTATTTGATAATATGGTGATGTATCTTTTTTTTTGGGTGCGTACATTTTAACTTTGCTTTTGTAAACTCTAAAACCGAGAGGTGAGTGAACACAGAAACTCAAAAACCATTTGTGTGGCCCTGTAGGTGACGTTTCGGGCGACAGGCCTTTCTCGCGCCGACGCTACGAGTCGTTCGCGTTAATCTCGTCCAGTGTGTTTGGCAGTCAGTCGCTTGCGTCAACGCATCCAACAGTGAGACGCGACGCGAGCCTTGGTTGTGTGCTGCGGATGGACTGGCTCCCACCATGGGAACGTGGAATTTCCACCGTAGCGACAGAGACGCTCGTCACCGCACGTTTTGAGTGGGGGTAACACCACGGGACGTTTCGTCAAACCCACTGGCTGCGTGAGGGCATCGCACCCGTCTGTGTGCGGGTCGTGTGGGTTTAAACCAAACCAAACTAAACTCGTGCGTATTTTATTGTTTTGTTTACCATGGTAAGGCCCACTGAACAACGGAGCTCTATTTTATTATCCTTAAGCGACCTGGCCACAAATGAATTATCTCCTGTAGACCAGGCGAGGTAGTTAACATCTCCTGTAGACCAGGCGAGGTAGTTAACATCTCCTGTAGACCAGGCGAGGTAGTTAACATCTGTAGACCAGGCGAGGTAGTTAACATCTGTATACCAGGCGAGGTAGTTAACATCTCCTGTGTACCAGGCGAGGTAGTTAACATCTCCTGTGTACCAGGCGAGGTAGTTAACATCTCCTGTAGACCAGGCAAGGTAGTTAACATCTCCTGTAGACCAGGAGAGGTAGTTAACATCTCCTGTAGACCAGGCGAAGTAGTTAACATCTCCTGTATACCAGGCGAGGTAGTTAACATCTTCTGTAGACCAGGCGAGGTAGTTAACATCTCCTGTATACCAGGCGAGGTAGTTAACATCTCCTGTAGACCAGGCGAGGTAGTTAACATCTCCTGTATACCAGGCGAGGTAGTTAACATCTCCTGTATACCAGGCGAGGTAGTTAACATCTCCTGTATACCAGACGAGGTAGTTAACATCTCCTGTAGACCAGGCGAGGTAGTTAATATCTCCTGTATACCAGGCGAGGTAGTTAACATCTCCTGTATGCCAGGCGAGGTAGTTAACATCTGTATACCAGGCGAGGTAGTTAACATATCCTGTAGACCAGGCGAGGTAGTTAACATCTCTTGTAGACCAGGCGAGGTAGTTAACATCTCTTGTAGACCAGGCGAGGTAGTTAACATCTCCTGTAGACCAGACGAGGTAGTTAACATCTCCTGTATACCAGGCGAGGTCGTTAACATCTCCTGTAGACCAGGCGAGGTAGTTAACGTCTCCTGTATACCAGGCAAAGAAGTTAACATCTCCTGTATACCAGGCGAGGTAGTTAACATCTCCTGTATACCAGGCGAGGTAGTTAACATCTCATGTAGACCAGGCGAGGTAGTTAACGTCTCCTGTATACCAGGCAAAGAAGTTAACATCTCCTGTATACCAGGCGAGGTAGTTAACATCTCCTGTATACCAGGCGAGGTAGTTAACATCTACTGTAGACCAGGCGAGGTAGTTAACATCTCACCACCGCGACGCCCTATACATCGCCACGCTGGTTGGTGAAGGCGGGCGGGGAGGATGGAATTTGGGAGCATAGAAGTACACTACAACGGTGCATGTTGCTGGACTGCCCTCTGCCGCACACCACGTATACCCATGGCCATATTTTGAAAATAATCATGGGTTTGTATTTAAAAATAAGCTCCCCCCCCCCTCTCTTGTGTCTGTACAGCATTTTACAAATGCAGTCGCATTTACATTTTATTTTGATCACGGTTGCGGAGCACAAGGCCAAAAGTCTAAAACTCCCAAGCGGCCAGTAACGAACAGCACTATTATACGTGTTGGTGATATCCTGCTCAAATGAGCATTGAAGCGGCACTCATCTTTGTACAGCCCTGAACCGGCGGTGGACATTCCTCAATCCTTGAGGCACGGATGAGTCTCCAAAGGACTGCTACCATTTTTGACTTCTACACAAAGTGGTGCTCGTTTTTATCGGCCCCAGATGAATGATGGGCCGAGTGCACCAACAGCCAGTCTTTGATAACAGTGAATAGGTGTCTTGAATGGTGCAATTTTTATTATTACTTGGGGGAAATAGACGATGGGAATGATGTATACAGTTACATGCAATTCTAGATTTGAAGCTTTCGTGACTGCAAGGATTCATACTCTTAGTTCTTTCGGTAAAGTAACGTAGGAGGCAACACAAGTCTCCGTCATCAGGTGGACCGTCACAGCCAGATTTGCTGCATCAAGTGGTTACAGCAAATCTGGCTGTGACGGTCCCACCTGATGACGGAGACTTGTGTTGCCTCCGAAACGTCGTGATTTTATTGTTTTATTTTTATTAATTTTAATTTCATTTTTTACCTATGTTTACCGAAATAACTAAGAGTATAGTTAAATGCAACTTGTGTTGAATTCTCTATATTGCCTCCCACAGGGCTGCTGTTATGAACGCGATTGCACAGAGGTTGGGCTGGGGTCTGCATGCGGCTGGAGCTCGACTGCGCCACCCCCTGGCCTCCCCCCCTGCCCGCCGTCACCTCTGGGCCTGGCTGAACGCGGTGTTCAACAAGTGAGAGTGGCACCAACCAGCAACTGTGACCCAAGTCGATGACTTCCATCACCAGCCCTGGTCAATCCACTGCTGAACGAAGGCCTCCTTTAAGCTGCCCCCATCTCATGATTCTGCGATGTAATCCGAGTGGCACCTGCACACGAGCTTATTTTGTTCCTATTCTTTGGTTCTTTCGGTAAAGTCATGTAGATGGAAAATTAAGTAAAAGTAATGAAAATAGAGTTTTTGGTTTTGACAAATTTTTTTGTAATTACCATTTATTCTTATTTTATTATTTTCCATCAACTTGACTTTACCGAAAGAACCAAAGAATATGAATTCCTGCACAATGGCAGAGCCAGGATTTTCAGGTAGAGGGGGCAACCCCTCCAGCAATGAAAAAATGATAGAGGAGTTGTTAGTAAGGACTTGTCCCTTGTTTTTTATTCGACGCGTGTGCGGCGATGGCGCAGCCATCGATCGAGGGTCGAATTCGAACCGCGTTGTGTGATCGGCATCGCGCTCGCTGAAGGTGTTGATGCCTTCAGGGAAGTCGTGTACTGTATACGCAACTGCGCACAATTCTGAGTCACTTATAACTGCTTTGCCGTTACTTATTTCCAATTATGGACTCTAGACTATTGTCCTATCATCTCATAGAGTCCCTGGCACACATTAATATGCTACAGAGTGGCAGTGGGGGTCGCAAAATACCAATTTATTACTAATAAACCCCAATTATCCGATCGTAATTAGAGATTTAGATCGGATCATTGGGGGGCACGTGCCACTCCTCCCCCCCCCCCCCACTGGCTCCGCCAGTGTTCCTGGAGTCATGAAAGTTTTATTAAAAATTTATTTTGTTCCGTTTCTTCACAGTGGACATCCTCCCAGACGCGTTTCATTCCTTGGCTGCCACTCGGTCATTTGTTGTTGAACATCGGCCATGATCCCTTCTATCCATGATGTGCCCTGTCCAGTCCCACGTTTCACAATGGGCATCACCTTGCATGTGTCCTCCTGATTCACATGCTTCCTCTTTGTGTCTCTCAATGTGACGCAAAACGCTGCACAACCACGACCTCGCATTGACCCTGATCATGGACCTAATCGTGACATGACCATAACAGTAAGCTAACATTTACCCAAGTCGCGATTGTAACATTGTCAAAAAGGTTGAGGTGCCTGGGAGGCAGAAGTACCTGCGCTGAGATTGGAGTGTTATTCCTGAGCAATCGTGCGTTTTCTCAAGGTACCTCAGTTGCCTCCTACTTAATAAACACTTATGAATAGTATCGTCAATTATCCCAATGCAGGACCCTCCTGGAGAGTCATTGAGTTTCAGTGAGGATTTCCTGGGTAAACAGAATTGTTTTTATTTAGGCAAGAGAGAGGCAGCTCCAGATATTTATTTATTTTTATTCCGAGATAATCTTCCTATCTCCACATCACCATCATACATCTGTGGTAAGGCTACACTTAGTCGGTTGGTTGCAAATTGAAATCCGAGTTGAAGATATACTTATTCCGACACCTCTGACGTTCTGCGGGGGAAGTCAATAGCGGTGTTCCTACGGATAGACTGACCCCCACCAGAGAAAGGTGTAGTTTCCACCACTTGCTTCGGGCCGCCTTTGGAGATAAACGCCACCCAACCCCAGTTTGATCAGAGACACACTTTAACTTTGACATTTCCTTGAAAGTGAATGGAAAATCACAGGACGTTTTTAATGCTGTCCAACTCGGGTTGAAAGCGTTAACGCATTGATTGGCTCTGTCCGTCCGTCATTCTCTGTAGTGGGAAGTCAATAAAACTCTCATAAGGATGATCCAAAATGTATGACAGTTCAGCATGAAGTTGTTTTGCTGTTAGGGACTTACTCTTGAAGACCGGCCTAATTGATAAAAGGGTTGCTCAGAACTTTTCGCCCAAGGCGATGCGGTCACTTGCTTCCCCATGATATAAATACACTTAACATCATCTCACAATGTCATACACGTGGAGAAAATCGTTCAAGAATCCGTGCCGCATGCATGACTTGTCTCCTTGTGTGTTTTCTTTCCGCTCGGGTCAGGGTGGATCATGAGCGAATCCTGGAGGCGGGTCCCGACCGCGCTGCCTCCGAGTGGCTCCTGCGGTGTGGCGCTCACGTGCGCTACCGCGACTCGGAGCGCTGGCAGCAGGACTACAACGGGCTTCCGGCTGGAACGCGTGACCGGTACCGCATTGAAGCCATCAACGCCACCGACTCCTGCATCATGGAGACTGGCTTCGACTACCTGGGTGCGTGCTGCCTCTGCTTTGAATATGGCTAATCATTGTTTAAAAATATATATTTGGTCTTTTTTACCACAATTTTTGCCTTTGCTATCAGCATCATGTTGAGACAAAATATCTATTGAGACGTCTCGCAGGGCAATGCAATAATTTAATTAAAGAATGGCCCATAGAAGCAGATATCACAGCACTACCTCCGAATTCCCGTCATGTGACCCCTAGTTCACGCAGTAGGGGGCAACACTTCACAAGACTTCTGCCCCAGAGCTGGAATTTAGCCAGAATTATGTTTTTTGTGCAGTCATTGGTGACCGAGTTGTCTGTATCGTGTCATTCCATCCATTATTCTCAAGAGGAAAAAAAAAATCCTTAACACATTGCAAATCACACATTCTAAACAGTCAATTCACTCCACGTATCAGGTCCATACAAATACGTTACAAATCGACGAATCAAAACTCAACTACAGTAAAATCTTGGATTGTGAGTAACTAGGTCTGCGAGTGTTTTGCAAGACGAGCAATTTAAAAAAATATATATTAATTTGATAAATGAGCGAGGTCTTGCAATACGAGTAGTACGTGTATACCGTTTGTCTGTAGAGCGTCACGTGATCACAACTGATATACAAGTGCTTTGATATACGAGTGCTTTGGATTACAAGCACGTTTCCGGAACGAATTATGCTCGCAATCCAAGGTTTTACTGCATTACCAATCACTGTGAGCACCGTGAAAGCTTGCAGCGTCACGTGCCATGTTTGTTCGCGCAGACGGCCTGCAGCACGTGCAGCAAATCCACCTGGAGCGCTGCGTCTACATCGGCGACTCGACGCTGGAGCGCCTGAGCCGCACCGACAGCCTGGTGGCCTCCCTGCGCGACCTGCGGGTCGTGTCGTGCGGGAACGTCTCAGACCTCGGGGTCATCTCCCTGCAGGGGCTCCGGTGAGCGTGCTCACACGGGAAGGGGGGAGATGCTCGCACTCCCGCGCCGGTCGCAAGTCTTTTTTTTCTTTCAAATTTTCTTGCTGTGGATTTCACACCTGATGACGATTGCTTGTGTTTCAGTCGAAACGTCGTGAGAATTTTACTGATTATATTTGTATTATTTTATTATTTCCCTTCTACGTGACTTTACCGAAAGAACCAAGAATATGAATCCCTGCAGTCAAGAAAGCTTTAAATCAAAATTCAGGCTGTGCTGGTCGCTTGGATAGGTGGATGCCCTGGGATTCTTTAGTGAAATGGGGCCTGGCCCCCATGTTGATGCCCTGGGCTTTGTTTCGTGCTCCTCTGGCTGTCCGTGGTGCTCGTTGTTGTTGGTACTGGGCCTGCCATTTGTTTCCATGTCCCAACCATCCCGTACCCTTCTTGCAAACCTAACATTACATTTTTTCATGTTTTTGTGTGTGTAAATGTGTATTTTAATTTATATTCATTGGGTTGTAATGGATTCTGGTGGTTCCTATCACCATTAGAGGTGCTACTATTCATCATAACACTAAAAAATATATATATTTTAATGAAATTGTGACCCTGATTTGTGACGGTTGAATTGAAAAAGGTGGTGGATGACTCCACTCCTGGAGTAGGGCATCATGGTACAGTTGCGTTGGTGTTACCATTCATGTGGTTGTGTTGTATGAACGATCACATTGAATAGTAACGTGCGTATTGAGGACCGAGCATGCAAGCATTGCTTTTTCTGCATGAAGATATTTCGTACCATACTATCCTCTCTCTCGGACTCCCTTGCAAAGAGACCTTTGTCTCATCGGGCTCTCAAATAGTTACGTATAAAGCTCATGCATTTATGCACATATTGAATATTCAGCGAAAGGGAAGAAAACAGTGCCTCTATTTCGTGCACCAGGAACCTGCAGACCCTGCTGCTGAGAGACCTCCCTGCTGTGAAAAACAAAGACAGCACCGTGGAGACACTGCAAAAGTCCCTGCCAGCCTGCGTCATCACCGTCGACCTGCCCTGACTCTCCTTTTAAGCGTTGTTTGGATTAGCCATCGTTAGGGATCAGCCACTTCTCAAGCTCGACAGAGGAGTGTGCCAGAACCGTGGCAAGGTACGGTGGGTGATGGGGAGGTTAGGGGCTCATGACTTGGCAGCAGCAGTTGAACGAAAACCGTTTTCCTTTTGCGTGTTGAGACGTTGAGAATTACAAATGAGTTGTGCAGCAAAACGATTGAGAAATGTGGAGCTGATACAGTAAAACTCTAAAGAAAAGCGGCACAGATTAACTGGTACAGGCATTGCTTAGCTGCACATGTGGTCGACTAATAATTATCTGCACTTTATACCCGACTGATTAAACGGTCGGACCCTGGCTCTTCTATGATCGTCACTTTACACGCTCCAGTTTGCATTATTCATAAATCCGTCAGCGACGTAAACTTGCAATTCTCTCATGAGTTTTGGTTGATCACCCGGTGCGATCTGTTTGTGTCGAAAATTTATGGGCTCAGCTGGAGATAAAATGAGCTAAGGTTGTGAAACGCGCAGTGTGTGTTTAGAAGCATTGGAAGTAAATTAATGTGCAGGGCGTGAGTGTTTTACAAAAATAGACGGGTGCGTCCAAGTCTCTTGTGTCAGCACTGTCATGTACTGCATTCATTTTTTGGGGTACAAGTTAACCTTGGGAGCTTAAGCCACTGCACTGGTTCCATTTAGGCACATCCATATTGCAAGTTACTTTTGAGTTGAAGCTTTGGCAGTGCCGGTCAAAAACATTTTAAAACTCACAGCGTGATAGATTTTTTAAAAAGAGACAATATAAAATAAGCTTGGCCAGCAGGAGACATTGATACAAAATATATATTAAATGCAGACCTGATTCCGACAAATACTAATAATGAGACTCGAACAAATTACCATCGGTGGCCTTGCTCTGCCATGTGGAAGGAGCAGTAAGCAGAGGTCTGTCCACACAAGAGGAGGACTGACGGTGTGACGGGAGGACTTACATGAGAAAAAACCTAGGTCTACAGGAAGTGATGGCCTGTGACAAAAAGAGTGGAAGAAGCTGAAGAGATTCATCCAGCCTCATCGCCAGCTGCCACGTGGGGACGGAAGAGAAGAGGAGATGATATCCAGAGGAATATTGTCTTCTGGCTTCACAGTTGACCTGTCCATTTGTGGATACTGGATTAAAAAATCTATCCGATAAAAAAACACAAATTTAAAGAAGTGAGATTCAACATAAGTATATGATGTTAAACTTGACTTTTATTGCAGTTGCTTTCCTAAGCATACAATGTGATTGTCTCACGATCTAATCAAAGATAATTGCTTTAAATTGGGCATGGGGGGGGGGAAATTCTACATCTGGAGCTTTTTAATGAAGTGAAACGCGAGAGTGTAGCTGCGTAATTGCGTAGCAAATGCTTCGACTCTTGCCCCACTAAACATCACCGTTGATCTTGTAACAATCCACCACGTTTGTTGCATAAAAAAAAAGCGTCGGCTTTTGTTCACCAATCTAGCTAAAGCTAAGAGACTGCCGCTTAATGAGGCACTGCGCGGATGATTTATGACGTCTGCCGCGGCGTTTTCGTAATGCGTGAACCGGGATTTGCAATCACGGGTAAAACCCCGAGCTGTTGTCAATTTAGCGGGCGGCACGACTGAATTGATGCGGTTATTGCACAAAAACTACCGCGTGTAGAGGCCAACGAGTACACTCTTCACTTGGATCTAAATGAGACTATGCAGCGTCGCAATCACGTCTTTTAATTGCGACGGCTGCTGATGGGCAATGACTGGCGACCTGCAAGAACAAAAAACGAAGCTCAAACTGGCGACAGTAAAAAAAGACCCATTCTATCCCAATTCCCAGAAGCAGCCGCTGTGTTGCAACTGTTGGCTGCTGCAATGCTCCTGTGCGTGCGCGTCTCCAATTGGGAAAGGAACTCGAAATCGTGTTTCGGTTATCTGGGCGAGAGCGACGATGGGGGGCAGGAGGCACGCTGCGGAAATTCAAGTTAGGCCAAAAACACCTTTGTAAAAGGCACAGCACGCTCACTCATAAATCCATCTCGGTAACTCCTACGAAAGGAGGACTTCAACCCAAAACAGCTGTGGACGACACACTTAGGCAGTGTGGTCCCGGGCTCTCCGACACGAGGTTCAAGATAAGATAATTGAGAGTGATAGAAATACAAGACTTACGTGCCTTTTGGTACAAGAGGTGCTCCCTATCCATCGGGGGCAGTACGAGTTATTTGATCGTACATCACCGTGCCAGGGAGTGCGGGTTGGTGGAGGCGCGGAGCATCTTAAGAACAGTAACAATGCATTCTGTCATTCCCTCTCGATGTTCAAAACGTAGCCCTGCAGCAGCCTACAACACCTGACATGCATGGCGGTTGCCCATCCAAAGCACGGTCCGACATCAACTCGAGTTAGCTGTCCGATGAGATCGGGGGCATTCTGGATGATTTGGTCAGGGGGTGCACCTCAGCCAAAATAACATTCATGTCACGGTAGTGACATTTAAAAGGTACGGCAGTCTCACTGCAGCGGTAAATTTAGAAAGCTCACACGGTGTTCCAAAACGTCACTTTAAAGTGTTTTTTTTATATCTTTTCTCATCAATGAAACTTCAAGCTTGGAACACACAGCCCGGGACACGCAGTATAGGTCCGTGTCCACAAGAACTCTTATCATCGCTACACTACGCTTGCATCTCAGGGCAATCTCGCCTTTACCTTCGAGTGGGCAACGAATGTTACCCACCAGGTGGCCACCCTTCCCGCTCCTCTAGGTTTACAGCCTCACGCAACAGCGAGGGACAGGGAAGCGTTTGCGATGAGAGTTGGGGGGGGGGCAGTGGGGGGGCACCAGCTGCCGGAGGGTAGAGGGGCTCCACCCCCCAAACTCCCCGCTCGTTCACGGGCCGGCGTTGTGCGTGGGCGGCTCGCTGGGGGCCGGCATCTTCACGTGTGACGGCTTCACGCCCCAGATGTCGTGCGCGTAGTCTGTGATGGTGCGGTCGCTCGAGAACTTGCCCGAGGCGGCGATGTTCAGGATAACCTTCTTGGCCCACTCCACGGGGTTCTGAGCGGGCACGGCGTGGGCACAGGAACAGTGGTCGCTTAGTACGAGTACCCCCCCCCCCCCCCCCCGACAGGGACACCTGATTGCGTTAAATAAATTAAAAAGGACAAATGTGCAAGCCTGCAAGTGCTTGCTCGAGTCACTGTTGGTGGTGGAAGGTTCCTCCACAAGAGGGAGCTTGAGGTCTATCTCTTATGCTGGCCAGACAACTTGGAAGAGGTGGGAGAACCCACACTTTACCCCACCACGTGATCAGAGTGTGGTGGGGGTATAGAACGTCCCACAGAACCAGACATCACAGAACTACCTAAAGTTCCTTCAAGCGACCTCTGCTCGACACAGCAGGGGGCACTACTTTCCCCACCGGCACCGCTACGGAGAGTAACCTTCATCGCACGACACTAAAACTGATGCGTTTTAAGTCTCAAGAGCTATAATTCATCCGAAATAAGTGCGCAATAACATTTTCGGCGATGAGTTTATGATGAGTGTGGATGCAGTTAATTGGTAAATCGGGCCGAGTACCAATTTTAATCCCGGCGATGAAACGAGCAAAATGTTCGAACCAAGGATCTGAGTGGTGTCGGCTCTGCGCTCCGATTTCCGAGGGCATCATGATTCTCAAATAAATTGGCATGGGAGAAATCCCCTCCAGGTACTGGTGTCAGCTTGTTGGTAACTTTGGAAAAACAATTCAATAATAACCATACAAAATCCATCATGAACAGAACAATCGTTTAGTTGTCTAACCACAGTTCTCTATCACTTCATTACGGCTGCCTGTCAGTCCGTCAAATTTCCTCACATTCATTTTGACGCTGATCTAAGACAAGAGGACCACAGTGCACTTCTTTAGGAAATGACGACGTTTTGTTGCAACAAGGAGCAAATGCCGAGCGTGCTTCTTACACACGTTTTTTTGTTATTCTCTTGTTTGAAACTCGGAAAGAGCCGTGCGAGCACTCACCCCGTAGAGCTCGCTGACCTTCTCCTGGCACTTCGCATAATCCTCGTAGTCCGCGAACACCTTGAACCTAGCGCGATTCACAAACAGAGAGTTGAGGACACCGCTAAAGATCTACGCTTGAATCCTGCCGAAGCGCAGGCTTCATGACGGCGCACAGTATTATTTGTTGTATTGTTGTTAACAGTCGCTCCCATTCAAAACTATATCTGGCAGTAAATGTTTTTAAAATCTTTATATTAGATTAGATGGGGCCAGTATTCATCGTTTCTAAAACGACAAGGTGCCAATTGCAGTCAAGTGCCGGCTCAGATCTTTAGACACCAAGAGCCTCCTATGCCCTGTCCAGTGGACATGGCCTGGTTTTTAAGAGCACACTTTACATTCGTTTTGCATTATCCTTGTTTTTTGTTTTATCCGGGCCACCGCTCCGTCTATTACTCTGGAAAAATCGAGAGTTGGGACGAGCAGCCGATTTAAAACAGACTACTTTTTTTTCGTCAATTACTCGGATCGATTTAAAAATGGCGCCCGCCCTCCCGCCACCACCACATCCTACCTCCTGAAGGTGGGAAACCCCCCCCCCACAAGCCACCCTCAGCACGACGCGACCGACAATGTCGTCACCAAAATCCGCCCACTGCCTCCCCTTCCAGCGGCACATAAAAAACGGGGCAAGATTTTTTTTTTTTACCACCCAATAATTTTAACGATTACTTCCGATTAGTCGAGCAATCGAACCCGACGTTTGGTACGGCGAGCGATTACTTCGGCAAACGGGTGAAACGTGGCTCTTAATCGCGAGTCGACTCTTGAAACCCGCGTCGTCCCGATGCCGTGCAGAAGTTGCCAAGGGGCAGCACCTGTCGTGGTGCATGAGCATGTTGACGATGTCCTTGAAAAGGTCCGGCTGCTTTGGGGAGAAGAATCCGCTGCTGATCTGATCCATGACGACTTTAAGCTCGGGGATCTTGTCGTAGTACTCCTGAGCGTTGTAACTGAGTGGGGCGGAGAGGGTGGAGGGTGGGGCAGGGGTGGGGGATGACACAATTTAGGAAAATCCGACGACCTGTTTCTATGGTCGATGGTTATAGGAGGCGCCATGAAGCCTCCAGTTTGATGGAGGGGGATACATTGTCGGAAATATATCATTACCCCCTCAAGGTAAAATCTCGAATGTCAAGTTGTCCACAACGTTGAGCTGTAAGTGGTTACGCAATTGCATCCTCAACGAAATAACCTTCATTAGGGCACACTTGTTCGTTGGCATATTCCCACCCTGCAATGTCCTGTAACTGCTGCCACTGACAAGCCTTTGGCTGCTGTTGTCCTTGGAACAGAGCTGCGTGGCTTAATAGACCTTACTGGCTGAAATAAAGTGATTCGTATAACCAGCTACAGCTTGCCATTGAATTCCAAGATGCACAAAACCGACCACATTAAATTTGGCGTCTCACTTAAATGTCTGGAAATCCGGCTCTGCGAATTTTAAAACGTAGTTTTGCAACAAATATTACTGCCCCTTAGCAGAGGATTTGGAAAAGTGCTTCCCACGCTTGTGGTGAAAAATTGTCACTGGAAGGGATCTCGAACGCCCAGAGTGCGCGTCACACCGGCGGCAAGGCTCGGGCCTCGACAGAGGAAAACCGACCCGGTACCTCGTGAACTGGCTCGGCATGGCTCGGCATGGCTCAGATGTATAGTGGAAATAAGGTATGACCGGGGTTAAACTAAACTATTTTAATTTTACAAGGCGAGGCGCACCGAGCTACACAGTTATTTTTCAGAAGCGACCTGGCCACAAACAACAACTCAACAAAGTGGCTTATCACTTGGAAATGTAGAGCAGCCAAATCCTCTAAACGCACGTTGATTCTCAAGGTCTGAGGGAAGAACCGGAGGACCCGGAGAAAAATTCCACGCACTCGTGGGGAGAGAGAGACAAGCAAACTCCAAATATACAGGCGATGGGGTTGGGATTGAACCCACGACCTGGATACCAGGCGAGGCAGGTAACATCTCGCCACCGTGGGGGTTCCTCAAACGAAAACTACAGAGCGGCGGGGACGGTTTCCTCTCCCGGTGCCGTGGGTCGCTTGTGACCCCGCCCCCCTCACCCCTTCACGCTGAGCGCCTCCACCTCGTCGACGCGCAAGCCGAAGATGAAGAGGTTCTCCTCGCCCGCCTCCTCCGCCATCTCCACGTTGGCGCCGTCCATGGTGCCGATGGTGAGCGCTCCGTTCAGCATGAACTTCATGTTGCCCGTGCCAGACGCCTCCGTGCCGGCCGTGGAGATCTGCTCCGAGAGGTCCGACGCCGGGATCACTGCGCGCACACAAACACAGACACGCAGGCAAAGTTGTCCCCCCCCCCCCCATACAGCCGTCGACAGCCTGTTGTGTTGGAGGTCTACATGGGTAGATGGGTAGTGAATTGATAAAAGGGTTGTAACACCATCACAGACAATGTATTGTAGTCCCTGCTGGTGACTCGAAAGGGCACTAGAGGGCAATGATTGCAGGCAAGACGCACGCACTATAATAGGTATACAGATACACAGCAAATACAGAGATCCCCCCCCCCCCCTCGTATAGCCTAACAAGATTGTTGGGGCAAGTGATGTTAGCGAGCACCTACGGAGGGCCGGCACGGCACACGAGGGGGTGGCTGGTCAGCACCACGCCCGACTGCATTTGCCTTCCTAACGCCAATGTCTACACATTCGTACCAGGCACTCATTCTAGGCACAGTCCAACTAGGGTAGGCCCAAAGCTGATTCAGATAATCGTCGCTGATGTTTGCCATGGCTGGCAATCAAACAGGTCTGCCGGGTTCATAGCGCACCAGAGTTGAAACAAATACCGATAACCACCATTCGCAGCTTTGTGACAGTGGACGTCATCATGGTGCCTGTGCCGGGCCAGGTGCTATTATGAGGCCACGTGAAGTGTCGAAGGCTCGCTGAAAGGAGGTCACGGGACAGACCCACGCACGCATGCACACACACGCACCAAACGCGCGCGCAAAATGCACGCGTGCACTTGTGTGGGGGCGGCCTGTGACGCGTGGATACGTTGAAATGAATCTCAACGAGGACGTCACGTGCTCAGCCAGCTGGTCCAGCGGAGAGCGCTGGCCCGTGCTCACCTTTCTCTGCCAGGGACACCCGGTAGTTCTCCAGGAAAATAACCTTCAGCCTGTCCCCCACAACCTCATCGTTGTTTACGATGTCCCCGACTGCGGTGAAGAGCTTTATGATCATCTTGGCCATGTGGTATCCTGGAGCCGCCTGTCGACGGGGCAGGTTGGTTGGAAACAACGAGAGAGAGCGAGCGATGTTGTGTGTACGTACAAAGTCAGCTTTGATCGAGGTGCGCAGTATCTTGACTTAAAGCTTTCGTGACTGCAGGAATTCATATTCTTTGCGTCTTTCGGTAAAGTCACGTAGATAGGTTCCGAAGAAAATAACAAAAAACTACGACGTTTCGATCGCAACACAAGCGGTCCCCCCTTTTCCCGATGACGACCGCTTGTGTTGCGATCGAAACGTCGTAGTTTTTTTGTTATTTAGTTCTTTTCTTTGAACCTATCTACGTGACTTTACCGAAAGACCCAAAGAATAGGTGCGCAGTATTATCGGTGCTAAAGCCGCCTGGAGCTGTTTTCCATACGCTGGCAGGTGAGCAGAAAAAAAACCTGCCACTAAAATCGAAATCTTCAGAAACATACCCCTCATCAACGTTGACACCAGAATGACAATTCGTCAACGATGACTGAAAGCTGAGGATGCGGTGGCGCAGTGGGTGAGCGTGCTACACGATCAACTGGGAAAGCCCAGTTCGGTTCCCAGCCACTGCTCACATCGGCGCTGGGCAATATCTTAACCAGTGCTTGACACCCCCTTTTTCACGAACCCATATTGACCAGCAGCATGGTGAAGTGTGGTCAAACCACCCTCATGGCCGGCAATGTGTGGGGGGAGGCCATCATCCAGCTGTGGATTGATACAGGACTGTCCATTAACATTGACTCATTTAAGTAGCACTTAAGTGAACCGATACATCTTTCAGTTGTCACGGGAAGTTGTTTCAAAGAATAATAATAGCAACATGAGAATAGCACAATACATTTTAATTACGTTGCAGTGATCTGGTTACGTGAAGCTCACACGGCTTCTCTTCTGCATTTGTTTACCTGGAGTAGCCCCTCAATGGGGCTCAAGACATTATCTCGGGAGAAATTTGGATGCTTGGGCCAATTCCATTTCAATAACATTTGTGTGTGCGTGCGAGGAAACCAGAGTGCTCAGCGAAACCCCCACGTATATGAGATGAGCGTTCAACCACTCCAAAGGTTCACAACACACAGAGTGGTTCACAGCTCACAAAACCAAATTTTTTTTCTAGCTGCATACAACACTTGGAGTTCCACACACGCACGCGTGGTGGGTGTGCGTGATCCTCGCCTCCGCAAACACTGGACTGACAGTCGAGGACCACCACGCCCAGACGTACCTTCCCACCGATGATGATGGTCCTTGGGACGAAGGATTTGCTCGGTGCCTTTTTAATCCCTGGACACAGAGGGGGCGCACACACCACACGTTTCACCATGTACGTATGTTGAACTTCTTTCACACCGTACATAGCCAACCGTGCTAATCGGAGGTGCGGGGGGAGGACTAACTAAACACAAAGCAGCTCGAAAGAAATTAATTTGCAGTCAAGCATTTAAGAGTGCATATAGCGCCAGTGGCTTCGTAATTGTAACCATCAGCGGCACAGAAAGGAGAATCGCAGGTGTTGATAAGTAAGCAAAGACAAAGATCCCTCGTGTAGCTCTAAACGGACTGTTGGGGCAGGTGCTGACAGCAAACTATAAGGCTGACACGGCACACGAGGTGGGTGGAAGGCCAGCACCATGCCCGGCCACCTTTGCGTCCCTGGTGGCGATGTTTTACACACCACAACAGTTACTCATTCGAGGCCGAGTTGACCTAGAGGAGGCCCAGAATCAGTGCAAACAATTGCCACTGGTATTGGCCGTGAGCGGCGAAGCAAACTCGGGTCGCCGGGTTTTTAGCGCAGCAAGCCAACCGCTTTGTGCCACCTTTTCCGCAAAACACACAAGCGCACACGCGCACCAAACATAAGCTGGAGCTTATTGGTCACCAGATACCATCGGGCCAGATGTTCGACATCTGCTGCCAGTGCTGCACGCGAAAATTATTTCAAACGCCGCCTGTTATCGTAAGCGCTGGCCATGAAAACGATGCGTCAGTTCGCATCAATTCAAATTTATTCTCGCGCTCGTGATACAAATGGTGCGGGTGAGAATTGACTGCGTACAATTTGTGCAAATTACATGCCGATGATATGCTCTTGTTACATGTAGGCTAATGGCGCATGTAAACAAAGACACGCGGGACAGATTGTGTGTACCTAGGTGCAGCTGTTGCTTTCAGCGGACTGGAGGCAAAATTATTCCAAACAAAGAGATGGATGAGAGTAGCAGGCTGGACTGATTTTAAATGAAACCAACGAACCAATGTGTCTGAGAGTAGAAAGTTGTTAATCGGTGTACATTACCTGCTACGACTCATGGATCCGAATCATGGGCATTCATGAAAAATATTCACCAAAAACCCGAAAGTGTGTAAAGTAGCCCAAGAGAATTACACGGAGAGAAGGAAAGAGCACAAGGATTCGAGAAACAAACACCAGGTGACTTCCATAATTCTAACTGTGCGCTTGGACAGGACACGTTGCAAGAAGGGATGATGGTTTTGAGGTTGATGACCGAGTGGCAGCCAAGGAATGGAACACGCCGAAGAGCACATCCATGGATGAGATGGAGCGATAAGCTCTCAACTTGTACATAGGCACGAGATGGATTATTACATCGCAGGAGAGTGAGAGGACGGAGGCGGCTTGGGGAGGCCTTCATCCGGCAGTTGATTGACCATGGCTGCTGATGACGATGATGATGGCGAGGAGCGATGTCAAATTATTATTACATTTGTCTACCCAGGAAAGCCTCATGGAGTCTCGTGGCAATCTTGCACAAGGGCGCTGCCAAGTTTTCGCAGTTGGCGGGAGGGGGGCGACAATCGTTCTTGCGCGTGATCCCAAATTGACTAATTCGCTGGCAATCGATCAAATGTGGCTAATTTGGACACCGGCGCACAAAGCCCCGCTCTTGTGGACGACGTCACGAGGCCTACGAACGTCCGCTGCGCGCAGAAGACGGCGCACGTAGCATTTTTGTTTTCGGGTTAAAGGAAACCGCAACATTAACCGCGATCGTCCGCAACAAGCGTTCGCCGCCGGGACGCGTCTCCCCTCCGCGGAGGGCACTGTCGTCATCGGCGGCGTCGTCGGCGTCGTCGTCCCACCGTCGCGTGCGCGCGCACCCTCTCCGTCGCGCCGCGGCGTGCCGCGGACGGCCCGAAGTCTCACGGTTGTAGAGCGCGATGACGTGCAGGCAGTTGAGCAGCTGGCGCTTGTACTCGTGGATCCTCTTGACGTGGACGTCGAAGATCGAGTCCGTGTTGACCTGCACGCCGTGATTAGCCTCCAGGTACGCCGCGAACTTCACCTTGTTCTCCTGAAACGCGGTGGGTGGGGTGGGGGGGCATGACAGGGGACGGGAAAAATCGCCGAGCGAACGGGGAGTGGAATAGTTTAGGATATGGCAGTGACGCTCGTCGGGATAGCGACGACAGCAACAGCTTTAACACGAAGCACATGTTTCGGTGACCCTGCGTTCGAAGTGGTGGACAAATGCAAATATCAACCAAAGAACATGACACATTCCGTCAATGTTGCGTAGTACAAGTGCCATTTAGAAGGGCCATAGCTAGAAATGTCGCCTAATATAATTTTTTTCTCCTTTTAAATCATCTCACCTGCTTAACCTGAAGGATGTCCCGGATGAGCCGGGGGTCATTGACAAACTCCTCCAGCTTTCTCAACTGTCCCAGGTCCTTGATGAAGTCTTCGCCAATGCGCTGATAAAAAACATACAAATTACAAAACATTCCATCGCAAGTCCACCGAGCGAGCTTCCAGTCACACAACTGCCATCTCAAACCAACGTTCCACCACCAAGGAACATGAGCATATAATCGCTGTCTAATTTGCATTCTAAAGCGGTCTAAACTATTTTAATTTTACCAGGTAAGACCCACTGAGCTATGTAGCTCTTTTTTAGAAGCGACCTGGCCACATATGATAGCTCAACGAAGTGGCTTATCACGTGGAAATTTATAGTAGCCAAACACAATACTCTAAACGCGTGTTAATTCTAAATGTGGAGGGTAACACCACAGGGAGAGGCACATGCAAACTCCAAATATACAACAGTCGGGATCGAACACATGAGCTCCTGCATATCAGGCGAGGGAGTTAACATCTCGCCACCGCGGTCGATGCTTAAATGAGCAATTCTATGCAAGCGTCGCGAGCAAAACAGTTTGTTTTATTCTGTGCATTATCACTTGCCTAAAAAAAATCCTCATCCAAGTCCCAAGACTCTTTTAGGAAAATCCTGCCAAGCTACCGTAGTGGGGGGGGGGGGGGGGGGGGTGGGGGCGGGACGTTGCTGCAATCCTGATTGAGTAATTTGCAGGGATTTTTTTTGCATTGGGATGTATGGCCAAGAGCAGTAACATCGAGTGCTCTCCTAGCTATGGGAGGAAACCGAGGAACCCGGATGGAACCCACGCAGAAAATTCGGGAGAACATACAAACTCCACATACAAAAAAGGCACCCAAGTCGGGAATCCAACACAGGCCCATTTCATTGCTGTGATGCATTAGTGTCACCGCACCACGCTACCCTGCGACAAATAGAGGTGAGGAATGGGAGAGACTGGAAACAAAGTAGAAGACAGGCTGAGAGAGAGAAAGAGCGAGTGAGAGCAAGAACGGAGCCGCCGTGAAGAGGCCGGGCGTGGACCTGTGGGGACGGGAAGAGGGGGCGGAGGCCGAGACGCTCACCTCTGCGATGGCGTCGGCGAGGCTGGGGTTGCACATGACGAGCCAGCGCCGCGGAGTGATCCCGTTCGTTTTGTTCTGGAACTTGTCCGGCTCCATCTCGTAGAAATCCTTAAATCTGGACATGTTCAACACCACGGCAATACGAGTATTAACGCGTTTACTTTTTTATTTAACCAGAGAAGACTCGTCGAGTCTCTAGACCACACGCGAGCTTGCGTGTGTGTGTGCGCGCATGGTGTAGGAGGCAGGATGGGCAGTTGGAGGCAGTCGCCCTCCAGCAACGGTTAAGGGTGGAGGGGCGACGCTCGCAACAACGAGCAGAGCACTGGGCGGCTAAAGAAGCATTCAGTTGGTGCATCAGCCAGTCATCTCAGCGAGTTAACCCACAGCACCTGGGTCCATCTCATCACCTGCCACAGCGAGCCTCGGACACTTCCATGCGAAAGCCTCGTGAGTGCACCTAGCCTGGCACAAGCGCGGTGGCGATGTCTCCGGCGCTCAGCGGCGGCCGCTGCCGTCGTCGCGCGAGTGAGCGAGCGAGCGAGCGACGCTCACATGGACTGCTTGATGATGTCGGAGTGGATGCGAGCCACGCCGTTGACGGCGTGCGAGCCCACGATGCACAGGTGCGCCATGTTGACGCGCTTCTCGCCGCTCTCCTCGATGAGCGACATGCGGCCCATGCGCTCCATGTCGCCAGGGTAGAGGGCGCACACCCGCTACGGCCACGTCGGGGAGACACGGGGAGGGTGGGGACACGGGCGGACACGTCGGTATGGGGACGCGTGCGCACGGGGATACGGGACACGAGGACACGGGAACACGGAAACATGGGGGACATGGGGACACAGAGACACCAGGACGTGGGCACAAGGGGGCCATCACGATATGCAGACAAGGATGCACAGGGATACGGGACATGGTGACACGGGGAGAGGCAGGATACGAGCTTACATGGGAACACGGAGACATGAAGATACGGGGACACGATAATAGAAGGATGCAGCGTCTTCGGGATACAGACAGTGGCATACATAGTCACAGACACACGGGGGCGATGGTGACACGGGGTCATTGGGGGACAGAGGAACACGGAAGCGGAGTCGCTTTCAAGAGAGGTGTTGGCGGCTCCGAGCGCAGTACCTCCAGGTGCTTCATGTTGATCTCATAGATGATGTCGAGGTGCCGCGGCAGGAGGTTCTCCATGAGATGCACGGGCCAGCGCTCGAGCGCCTCGGGAAGCACCGTGTGGTTGGTGTACGCGCACGTGCGCACCGTGATGTCCCACGCCTGATAGGGCGCACACCGCGAGCGTGGCAATAAAACAAATGTTTTCTTGAGCTGTATAGCTGTTTTTCAGAAGCGACCTGGCCACAAATGATAGCAAAATTAAGTGGCTTATCGTGTGGACATTTAAAGCAGCCAAACACTCTAAATGAATGTTGATTAAAAATGTGGAGGGAAAAACTGGAGGACCCGGAGAAAATTCCCCGCGTCCATGGGGAGACCATGAAATATACAGCAGCAGGCGTCAGGGTCTGCATCGAACCCACGACCTCCTGCATACCCAGGCGAGGTAATTAACATTTCTCCACCGTGGCACCAACAACAACCGCCATTCACCACTAGGTGGCGGTGACTTCACCACGGTGCTTGTGCCAGGCTAAGTCCACTTTAAGGCCACGTTAAGGCCACGTGAAGTGTGTTGCGGCCAAAGGGTGCTCAGGACAGGTGCGAGGGGCTGGTAACCCCTCCACGCTCAACCTAAGGACCACTACGTGGGAAAAAAATATCTAACCTTGGCACCCCACACACACGCACATACACACACATACACGCACATACACGCACATACACGCACACACGCGCATGATTGGCATCTGGGCGTGGGCCTCGGTGGATTGCAGGTCAGAGCCCTGAGCAGGCACCGCTGAGATGCTGGGTTAGAACCTAGGGCGAGCTCTGCCCCGCGGTCAGAAAAATTAAAACCCTCGACACATCCGTCAATAGTGCTGCCTTGAAGAGAAAAGTGTATACAAGGCAGCGCTATTGACGAATGTTGAGTAATGGTTGTTATTCGTGCTCAGTGCACCGCTGATAACACCGCACCACCAAATAATTTGAGGTCACTTCAAGGGATTCTCAGCGTCCCGAGTTTAACGGTTTGCGATTGGACGGAATCGATCACATGCAGCTACATTTTTACTTGAAACTCATTAACTGCGTCCTGAATCTAGATTTTAACTGCGTCCTGAGCGTGTCGATTCGCCAATAATATAAACTACGTTCGTTTACACGTGGTCAGTTAATGGTGTCAGCTCGGTCACCCAATGACTGCACAAACAAACAAAAAAAATCACTCCAGAGGGCAGCACCTACCCACCCAGCATGCTACACAGCACCGTTCGTAGCGTGACATTCAAACTGATACTTTACATTCTCCAAAGGCGGGAGTTTAGTCAAATCAGGTTACAGAACCAATCTCGATACAAAGGTCATGGTTGACTGTGCAGTCACTGGTGACTGGGCTGACGCCATCAAATTCACTCCACTTGGCTTAAATCACAATCGGCTACCGAGATTTGAACCCAGGTTCTCGGCTGTGCCTTTAAACTACGGATGACGAATACTCTATAGGTGGTGTTTGGCCAGTGGCCGAGACGAATAACAAGAGTGGTAGCTGCAGGAGACGTGCTTGAGACGACATCTGCTTGTCAGCAGGCACTTTGCGGATTGTTACAGTGATGGGCTTGGGCAAGGCCAACATCAAGCAGTGGATCGATCATTGCTGATGATGATTATGATGGCGGGTAGCCGATACAGACTCATGACGATGGATGTTTGTTTCATGGGCGAGCGAAATAGAAATGCGAGGGGGGGGGGGGGGCCTCCTCGCCTTATCCCAGTCCAGCTTCTCCACATCCAGAAACACTCGCATCAACTCCGGGATGACCAGCGATGGGTGGGTGTCGTTCAGCTGGATGGCGACCTGCGGTACACGTGGAAACATTTTCGGCGAGAGTCGGAATACGGTCGAGTCTCGATCGTCCGGGTTGGCGGATCACGCACACACACACATTCGCGATATTCCCTTCCTACCTGCGGGCGTCGAGGTCACCATCTCCTGCCTTATGGTCAGGGTATGATGGGAAGTAGAGAAAGTTGATTCATTTCCATCTGTACAAGTGTAATGTGAGGATATATCCGGCTCACTGACGTATCACAACTCGTCATGATGATTGGCTCTGCCGGTCCTGGTTTATAGCCAATGGGGGGAAGCCTAGGGGCGTGGCCCTGACGTAATAGAAAGGTGACAGCTGTAAGGAGAGGATTGGTTCTGCTGGCTTTGGCCACAGCCAATAGAGAGACGAGTCAGGGGCTTGGTCCCGCGAGCCTACGAGGGAGCCTGGAAAATTCAATGGAGGCTAACCAGGATTGGTGGAAACGTACCAAGTGACCCGGGTATTAAATAGGGGTGGAGACAAACGACACGTGGTCAGAACGGGAATGAACGGAGGAAGGGGCCACGCATGAGCGGGGCTCCAGGTTGCCACATGGCAGTGCGTCTCTATCTATCCCTCTCACGCTGCCTGTCAGCAGCGGGAAGGAAAGCTGTAATGCAAGTTGAATAAAAGACCGGATTCCAGAAGTCGCCTCAACGACCTTTATTACACAAGAATTGAGTCGCTCCCCCACGCTCCAGATCTATAAACACCGATTCGTGGAGTTGACAAAACAACCCAGGGCTCCAACGCCAACCACGCTACATAGACTCACAGAGACCCGTAGACTTTTGCAGGCTAACATAGAACCTACAGACTAACATCTGACCCATAGAATAACATAGGACCCAGTGGCTTAACGATTGAGTGTACAGACGGTGAAACTGCACTGGGTGCTCATCGGCCAGAAGGTGTTAGGCGCCAGGCTATGAAGGGTGAGGGGGGGGGGTGATATCGGACAGGGGGGGGGGGGGCCCATGTCATTCCTTGTACCAGGCCCCTAGCCAACGATGCTACGGTCACTGTGGTACACGCAGCAAGGTTCCGACATGACGATGCAACTGCGGCTGCGTTCCGCAATTCGAGCCATCGAACAAATAACGGTCACCGCATCACGCGGCGATTTCGGACGCGCTTCTGCATCCATCTGGAACGCTCTTCCTTCCGATATTAGGAAGCCGCTGGGAGCGATGCACTGTTAAATCATCATCTAGATTGAAAACCAATTTCTTGGAAAACCGCTTCGTGCGTTTAATTTGTCATCCTTCCGCCGCAGCTCAGATTAGCGCCGTTTTCTTTGTGTACGGTGCGAAATAAGTTTAACATACAAATACACAATGCGTGCATGTTCAAATGGCGTTGAAGAGCAGAGGGCCCCTCCCTCTGCGTGCAATGCAAAAGTTGCGAGTTCAGCACGCGGTGGGGGGGTTGGTGTGGGGGTCAGGCCACGCAGTGGCGCTTGCCTTGTCTGGGAAGGCGTCGAACGTCGTCCTGGTTCCGGATTTGCACGCCTTGTAGCGGCGGATGATGTCCTGCAGCGTCGCCGCCACCACAAAGTACTCCTGCTTCAGCCGCAGCTCCTTGCCCTCGAAGAACTGCGGTCGGGGGAAAAACAATGGGGAGCAAGGTTCTGAAATATCCCCCCCCCCCCCCCCCCAGCCAGCATCTCTGTCCACCCGGCAGCAGAGGTACAACGGGTTGGGGGCACGGTTTGTCGATTGAGCGGCAGGTCCACGTGCGGTTAGGGTAAATTGTGGGACACAACCAACCTCCTCTTTAGAGACGTTTGGCCAGCGTGAAAGAGTCGTAGGTCAGTCGCCTTCATTTGAGCGGGAAATCACTTTGACTTGTAAATTGACCTCTATTATTATTGTAATTTTGAGATGTTGCAATACAATCCAATTTACGTGTTTACAGCGGCATCTCGATGCAACCGTATCTCCAGATGCTTCAGTGGGGGGGCATGACGATATGTGCTCTACGTCACGTAAACACAAATTGGGGGGGGGGGGGGGGGTCTTAAGTGTTGACTCCAACAAGAGCAGCAGCAGCAGCGTCTCAACTACACAGACATCAGGAGCAGAAGCCGAGAAACGAAACTAAACTGATAAAACTATTTTTTTTATTTGAACAGTTAAGGCCCGCTCTAAGCTGTGTTCTTTTTTTTGTCAGAAGCGACCTGGCCACAAATGACAGCTCAACAAGGTGGATTATCACATGGAAATTTATAACAGCCAAATACTCGAAACGCACATTTCTAAATGTGGAGGGAACAACCGGAAGACCCGGGAGAAAAATTCCACGCGACCATGAGAAAAGACACAGGCAAATTCCAAATATACTGCAGCAGGCGCCAGGGTCGGGATCGAACCCACGACCGCCTGCATACCAGGCGAGGGCGATAACACCTCGCCACTTGCGGCGCCCCTGGAGAAGGAGCGGCCTCCCACGAAGGTTGACACCGTGGGCCTCTGCGAGGAGGCCTCCATACGTACGTTGTCGTTGGGGTAAAGCACGCGGGAGATGTTCTCAGCGAGATTACGGTCGAGCACGGCCTGGATGTAGTCCCCGACGTTGACTGCGGTGGCGGCGAGAGAAACGAAAGGGCAGCAGGCAGCTCGGTCGGTCAGTTTGCGTTTATATTCTTAGGTTTTTTCGGTAAAGTCACGTAGGTAATTTTTTTAAATTTAAATTAATAAAAGTAAAATAAAAATAAAATAAAAATCACCACGTTTTGGAGGCAACACAAGCTTCCGTCTTCAGGTGGAACCATCACAGCACGATTGCTGTATCAAGTATCTCTTGTTTTGCCTCCGAAACGTCGTGATTTTTTTTTACTTTTATTAATTTAAATTTAAAAAATTTACCTATGTGACTTTACCAAAAAACCTAAGAATATGAATCCTTGCAGTCACGAAAGCTTCAAATCTAGAAGTTTGTGTTTAGTTTGGTTGTCCTTCCCTCCCCGCACCTCCGATTTATGCACGGTTGGCTACGTACGGTGCGAAAGAAGTTCAACATACATTAATTTCGGGGAAAGGCCCAATGGGCATGCCGGACAACGCAGCAGGCATGATTTGAAGTGACGAGCGGGCGCGCACTCGCCGAGCTGGGCAGCACGTTCGTGTAAAATCACAAAACAAATTGAAAATAGCTTTGCACCTGCTCCACGGCAGTCACGGCAGTTACACCGCAGTAAAAAAAAATTGCGCTAAACTGCCCTTGAAAATAAGTTGAAAAAAATGTTTCATTATAAAATCTTCATGAAATGCTTGTCAGGTAAACACAAGACACACACAGCTGAGATGTGCATTTACAAGAGGTGTTTCATTTATGGGCCATGTGTTCTTTTGAATCCGTGGCGTGAATATGCAAATGAGAACAGACGTCTCAAAGAATCTTATTTTTGTAGTGGCATTCATCTTGCAGCAGATTGTTTCTGGCTAAAGTCGACGGTGATGAATTTAATGTTGTAACATACTTTCGTTGGCAAAGCAAATTATAATTATCAAATCATAATCATCATCATCGTCATCTTCCAGCAGTCAGAAAAATGAATACCACCTGGTGAAAAGTCAATAGTTACTCTATGGAGAGACTTAGTCCCAGCCATAAACACGTGTAATTTCCACCACTTCCTCTGGAACAGAAACAGGGATGAGCACCAACGCAGCGTTCACTTGAGCACGGGAAAACTCTGACTTTTAAATAAATCTTGCGTGTGACATTTGCCGTTAAATATTGAAATCCGGCCACAACCTAGGAGGGCCCTTTGGTGAAAGTGCCGCGTCTCATTTGTATTCCGAATTTGTATTCCAAATGAGCCAAAAATCACCGCTGAAAAGGCCAGATTATTCAAGGAGTTGTCAGGTCTAAGGGCCGGACAGACGGAATATTTGCCCATCATCAGGCTGGTGATCATTCAACTTAAGATGTCCTGCAGTCAGTGCCCTTGGCAGGAAGGACATTTAGGCGTAACTTGCTGATCCCGTTGCCCGACTAAGCAGCCTGTTCCAAGTGACCAATGCGATTACGGCTAATTCAATTTGCCACCGAATAGAAAGCATCCAATCAAAATATCTCCGCTGCAAGAAGACATCGGGAAAGGCTACGCCGTCACGGCATGGCTATCTAAGTACAAGTATCAACCCTAATCCTATTGTCAATCCACTGCTGAATGAGAGCCTCCCCACACCGTGTGGGTCGTGGTGATTACTTCAGCACGCTTCGCCACTCTGGCGAGTGCTGGTTGGTAAAGGTGGTACCTAGCACCCATAATCCTGAGCTCACGCTCCGACGCCAAACGGGCAGGGAGCATTAGATGCAGCACCAAAAATATATCGCACAACGATGGACTTTGTTGAGCCAACTCTGCTGCCCACAACGTAACGGTTACGGATAGATAGCAGAAGCCTGAAAACCACGCGGCTAAACGTCGATGTAAACAAGTGCAATAGCTCCAATAAGGGGCAGGGGAGTGGAGCAAGAGGTCATGCGGAACGACCCTTGTTGACCTCCGACCCGCGCCAAACCCTGCAACATACCGGACAGCAGCCAATCACTGCCTCTGATGCTGACCGGGCCCCATCACTTTTTACCCCCCGGCCCCCCGATCCAACCGCACCAATGACCCTTTGTACCCCCCCACCCCCCGCCCCCCGACGACCTCCGACCTTTAGCGTTGCCTCGCTTCTATTTCCCGGCAAAATTACAGCCAGTGACAAGTTTATCCCTTGGCCTTGTCAATCGTCCTTGCGGAACAAAACTGCGAGCCTAGGGAGATAAAAAAAAATGAAAGGTTAATCGGCTCTTGCGCTGCTTTGTCCGGCTCGCCGTCAGAAATAGCACCCCGTGCTGCATTTTTAATACCCCTGCTATTGGTATCGCACGTTTATTTTTTTTTATTTGTGAACTTTGCTTGGCTGCAGCACTGCTTAAGTAATTGCTGCACACGATGCGATGAATAAATGAAAATATTTAGCCGTTCCATTCCCTAATGCTTGCCGGGGACGAGCGAGTGGACCCATATGCCGGATTGGAGGATGTCCTTCCAGGGCCAAACTGTCGCAGGGCATTCATCTACGTGTGCCTCGTTTTGAAGTTACCGCACAAAAAATAATCGCATTTAATTAATTAGATAATAATTGATTTATATATATTTTACTGTGTATTACCCAATCAACCAAAATGTGCCCGATCTCATCAGATCTCGCAAGCCAAGCTGGTTTGACCCACACGACTCCAGCGACGGATTGACAAAAAGGGGACAGCGTACGCATGCACGAAGCATTCCCGTGCAGCTTTGGATGGCAACGCAAAATCCACGCCGAGTATCGTTTTCGCTTACAGATATTGCGTCGTAGACGTTTTTATTTGCTTCTATTTTGGGCTCAATGGAACAAACTGTTGCGGGGCGCTTTTAGCAATCTGGAGTCATTTAAGGCCGTATTACATTTCCTGCTGGTAATGGGATCGCAGCAGATTCGACGCAAGTCAATGGGGAAATGTGTGCACGACGTGGAGTGGCAATGCGTGGGGAGGAAGAGGAGGCGGGGGGGGGAGCGGGCTTGGAGATCCTTGCCATTAACAACGTTGTGCAAACATTGCATCACGGCAAAGCAAAGCGGGGTTGCTTGTGCAGGAGAAATGTGATGATGGGCCGTGGAAGGTGAACGAGCATGGGGCAGGGGGGCAAGGGGAGAGGGGAATTTGTTGAGTAGGAGAAAATGTGCAGGGGATGACAAGGGGAGTGATGTGACCGGGAAAATGAATTCAGAAGAAAGGGAGAGAAGCAGGTGGGCAGACATCCAAGCAGACAAGCAGGGCAGGGCAAGGCAGGCATGATGAATGGGCAGACGGACAAATTGACATATGGATGGACAGAGACACAGACAGGCAGGCCGATATGCAGATAGAGTGTCAAATGGAGAGACAGAGAGACTGAGAACGCAACAAACAGACAAGCAAGCAGACAGACAGAAACGGGAAGGCAGACAGAGGGATTTGCAAGCAAATGAACAGGAAGGCAGGCAGACTGATGAATGAATGGACAGAGAGACAGGCAGATTGGCAGCCAGAAGCAAAGATAATGACGAATATAGAGGCAGACGAGCATGGATGGATGGCAGGCAGATGGGCAAGGAAGCCGGGCAGAGCTGTCAGGCCCAGTTGGAGGGGGGGCAGACAGAGAGAAGCACAAAAAGAGGCATAAATGTGAAAAAAAAAGTTGAGGCGCTACGAGACAAAGGAACTGGCGGTGATTACGAAAGAGACAATGGTGGGAGAGAGAGAGAACAAAAGACGGGAATTAAGAGGGACAGACCCACGGAGAGAGGGAAGGGAGAATAAATAAGAGTATCGTAAGATAAAGAAGTATTTCGATTTAAAGCTTTCGTGACTGCAGGGATTCATCTTCTTGGTTCATTCGGTAAGGTCACGTAGAAGGGAAATAATAAAATAATAAAAATAAAACATAATAAAATACAATTCTCACGACGTTTTGGCCACAACGCAAGCAGCCGAAACGTCGTGAGAATTGTATTTTATTAGGTTATATTTTTATTATTTTATTATTTCCCTTCTACGTGACCTTACCGAAAGAACCAAGAAGATAAAGAAGTATGTCACCGGAAAAGCTGATTCAAAAACGGATTCCTGCGCTCACGACGCGTGTATCTCATCTGTATGCCAGCTACAGCGGTGGCAAGGGTGGTTTTGTGAACTGCGCAATGAACCTGGCCAGCCTGGGTTCGAATCCCAACCATGGCCAACATCAGAGACCGATGCCTAAACTGGTCCCGGGCTCTCCATTAAGCCGCCCGCACTGACGATAATGGGGAAGTATGGTAAAACAATTCCCATTATCTACCTGGCGTAGGTAGGTGGCCATCAAAGCAGAAGGCCGACAAAAATGTGTTTAATGTTGGATGTGCCTGTAGCTTCGTTTGTGAATTTGTTCTGTGACCGAACTGGATGTTTATCTGCCCGAGGCGATTTGAGCCGCAGGGAATTACATTTTTAGCTTTCATTTACCGTTGATTCATGTTTGGGCAATACGTTCGACTCCTTGTGCAGTGTTTTTGTTTTCGTCCCGTTTGCCGTTTGCCGTTTACGTCATTGCTGCATGTTATTTGTTTGTTTTTGCTGGTGTTATTTTGTAAACCAGAGCCCTCTTGGTCTCTTAAGTTCTCACCTTGTGAAGCAAAATATAAATGTAACACGGAATGACTCTATAAAAATAAATATGCCCTCTGTTTCTGTCCAGCGTCTTGAGATCTGGTTGCATTTAGACACTACAGAGATCCAAATAGTTCATTATTATTTTATACGCTACATGTAATCCCTTTACATAATCCCTGCCACTGCTAGAGTGTATCTATTCGCCGCATTGGCAATAAAACAACACTTCAGACATTTTGGTGAATCCATCAGGCCATGTGATTGTGGCAGTTATCTGACCATACTTCACCACGCTGGTCAATGCGGGTTGGTGAAGGTGGGGGAGCATGGACATTGGATCAAAGCCACAGCACAACAATGGATTGATTTTTCTGCATTGCCCTCCGAGTCAAATCGTGACCGTGAAAGAGATCGCAAGGGGGCGGAGGGAGGGAGGGGTAATCAATTGATGCCTAGAAAGCACAGGTGGTGTGACAATGCGGCACGGAAAGAAACGATAACAGGAAGACGGTGTGTCCGAGCGAGCGAGCGGGCGAGCGAGCGGGTGGGTGGAGGAGGTGACAGCGTGGCGCTCACAGTCCTGCAGGTTGAAGTCGTTGGGAGCTCGCGACGACCACAGGCGCATGGTGTTCACCGTGTTGTTGCCGTAGCCCGGTACCGGTGTGTCATAGGGCATGGCAAGGACGACCTGCGGGGGGCGGGCGGGTAAGGTGGGAGGTTGGAAATCAATGAGACTGGCGGACGACCGTATGGATGGATGGGTGGATCGACAAACGGATTGGCGGACGGAAGGACGGGCAAACATGAAAAGGGAAAGAATAAAGAGGATTCATATACGCATTCGTGCGCACACACGTCCACGCACACACACGTCCACGCACACGCACACACACACACGCGCGGCGTTCCCACTAAACTACGAGATCTCTTCACTGTCGACGATGACCGTTTCCGTTGATGTATCTAATCGAAATCTGCATTACGATTGCAAAATTGAACAGACTTGTGCAGTTGCTCTTCATACACAAAGCAAAAGGACGAGTTCACGCACGTGAACAACGATTGATCGATTCACATCAGATAGAGGACCAAAGTTTACGAGAGAAGACGGAATGCATCGCGGCGGACTGGACAACAACAACATTTACCGCCATTGTCATTGGGCTTCTCACACACTTTGTTTGTCGGGTCTCAATTCATCAGAAAAATACTTCATTGGAAACAGGCCCTGCACGGGTTCCAGGAAAATACATTTTTAAAACCATTATTTACCTTCTTTTTCTCCTGGGCCCATGACCGACTGCCTCTGCTCTCTCTCTCTGTGTAAAAAATACGTCTCGACACTGTATAACTCCAAATAGCATTACATCGTATCATTAAACTATTTTTTATTTTACCAGGTAAGGCCCACAAATGATAGCTCAACGGAGTGGTGTATCATGTGGACATTTCTAGCAGCCAAATAGTCTCAAGGCAGGTTTCTAAATGTGGAGGGAAAAACCGGAGGACCCGGAGAAAAATCCACACGACCACGAGGAAGACAAGCAGACCTCAAATATTCAGGCATCGGGGTCAAGATCGAACCCACAACCTCCTGTATACTAGGCGAGGTAGTTAACATCTTGCCATCTGGCACCCAGGAGGGTCCTGCCAAGTTTACGCAGCAGAATTGTGCGATTATGGATTTGTGTACTCTAATCCCAATTGAGTAAAATGGAGGTGCCATTATTATTTTTTTGGAAAACTCGGACCATGAAGCCGGCAACGCAATGGCCTATACTTGCAAATGACGTTCATTGCATATTTAGCATCCACTGTGAAGCAGACGGCACTTGAAATTATTATGGTTATTTAACTTCAGTTCAACGCGTAGGCTTTCGCGACCAATATTATTCATAATAAAGGTTTTTGGGTTAGATTGCATAAGTATAAATGCCCAATTACATCCAGCATCATCGAGCAATGAACTCCGCGACACGTGGCAGCGGCTTTCGAGAGGCCTCATCCAGCAGTGGATTGACCATGGCGGATGATAATGACGAAGAATGTACGGCCCTTTAAATCAATCCACCATGGGATGAGGGCCTCCTCCATACCATGTGGGTCGTGGGGATTATTTGACCACACCTCATCACGCTGGTCAGTGGGGGGATAGCGAAGGCTAGGATCATGGTACAGAAGAACAGGGCTGACAACACGGCACTGCAGCAACCTAAAACACCAGTGTTTTTTTGTTTGTCTAATGCACGGTGGTCACCCGTTCAAGGACTAACTCGGCTTAACCACGCTTCAGCTTCCACGATCTGTTGAGAATGGGCTCATTTCGTTTGATTTGGTCATCCGTGATGCACAACGTATTCGCATTTACAGTTACCACATTTAAATAAAGCGCAGGCAGGTCCACTATCCAGGTGGTCTCCTTCTCCCTAGGATTGTCTCTCGCATTACAAACACCAAACAAACCTACATCTACTCTATTTCCTCCCCCATCATGCAAACGTCCCATGGCATTGAGCAGCCTCTTGCGCGTGCAGCACACTCTATCAATCCAAAATTGTAAATGTGCTTTCCATTTTGGTGGGAGAAAATTGCTAATTACACCGAGCATTTGATGACTGCCGTGGCTTCCGGACACAATTCTACAATAATAATAAATGTCCTTTACTCCTCTGGGAAAGCCTCACTCAACCGAGTAGTAGAGAGAAATAGCTGTGCTTATTCAAATCAAAGTCAGTTGTCGACCATTTTTCAATACCGATTGTGTTGCTTTTTTGTCGGAGCCACCACTGGCATTGTGTGAAGTGATTAATGCTTTGTTTTTACATGAGAACATTGGTTATAACTGTCTTTGATTGGATAGAATCCATCATGCGCAGCTTACATTAGAGGTTCAAAACCGTTTCACTGCGTCAGAAATGCACTCATTTTGTACAAAATTCGCAATGTAATTCACAATTTTCTTCACACAGCACAGTTACAATTTGGATTTACAGAGCATCTGCATTCAACCCCATCTCAAGATGCTGCACTAAAAAACACAGCGAGCCAAGTGCATCGCAGGGACCGAGTAAGGGTCCCATTGCACCTATATCCTCGACAAGGCCGGGCGGTAGCGTATTCGACGCCTGCTGCGGAGGTTCGCGGTTTGAACCCTGCAGACTGCCCCTGGTTGCTTCTCCGATGTGGTATTAACCATAAAATACGACGTGCAAACGGCTTCACTGGGGATGTTAAAGAGCACGCCGTTGTGTACCGGTGTCACGGTCGAAATGAGCTGAATTTGGAGAATTACTCACAAAATGACTTCATTGGGAAAGGCATGGCAATTTCCGCTCCCGACTGGCAGATGAATGCACAGGCCGGTGCCGAATCATCTTGTGCTGCACAGGGACAGCTGTCACTGGGGGGGGGGGGTCCCCTTCAAGGGGCTTTGAGTTGCTGAGACATGCATGTGCCATATATAAATGCAAATAAAATTATTTGGCAGGACATACTGTATCTGTCAGCCTGATAGATGTTCCAAAATATGTTGATGCAAAAAAGAAAGGCACTTATTATAAGAAAAACAATCAATCGAAACCGACACGAAAAAATGTTTTCACGGGACGTTTGGTTAATCCCATTAATGAGTGCAATTGGCCAAACATTATGGCTTTTGTGAGAATGGTCACGGCAGCTTTGGCCCCGTGATTGAATCAAGCGATAAAAGAGCCCTTGCCCGGGACTTCTCATTACACATCCTTTGACATGAACGCTGCTGGTCACGTGCAAAATTCATGTTGGGTTTATCACGTCGAAATGAACACCCAAGGGTAAGCTTCCGTCACCATGAATGGAATCACTTCATATGGTGTGCCCAAAAAGGTACAAGGTGCAGCAGCCCCATGAAAGTCATTGCTCACGCCACTTTTGGCAAAAGGGGCTACCCACGTAGAGCAAGCGCGAGAGAGTATCCTAGGGTCTACTCCTCTACACTGACCAGTTGTGTCTTGGCAAGAGGTGGGAGGACCCACACTTTACCTCACCATGCGCGTGACCGACTGATTGTCTCCGCTGCGGTGTTCAACCGATTTATACTGTTGGGTGGACGGAGGCGGCGGTGGTGGTGGTGGTGGAGTGGCGGGGGCGAATTTAAGAAACTTGCCCCAATGTTTCAAAACTGCCTTGCCAGCGATTGTGTAGCTTCCACAACCCACAAGTCGCACGCAAGCCATCACTGCCACATTACGGATTCCTGTACAATCGGTGTGCAACGATTCACATCTGTCACCAAGGATTCGGTGACAAGGCATGGCTCAAGGGTCACGATTTGATTAAGGAAGTCATTCATTTTCATTATAATATTTTACTTACTTTTGCCGTCTCATTTCTGTTATTTCTCACGTGCTCTGTCTGGTTGGAACAGCTTGGTTTCACTATATTAGCCTATATGCCTAATTGTAACATTGACGTATCAATCAAGCTGATATAATTGATTCTAGCATGTATGGCGAGCGAAACGATCAATCTAAATCAAGGAATCAATGCACCATTGCATGTCTACATACATCAGTTGTATATTATTCTTAATAGTTACAGTTCATGGGTACAACAGAGCATTGACTGTTTTATCAATAATTCAGTAACTTAGGTCATCCGATTTCTATTTGAGTAAAACTAGATTTTCATTGGACAAACCTTATTGTATCTACACCAGCTATTGCTCTATATTTTCATGGTTTTGGCCAAGGAATTATAAAACACTAACAATTTTGCAGCCCTTTTTCAATCGACTGCCAGAATAAAAGCCTCACCACACTGTCAGCCATGGTGGTCACTTGGCCATACCTCACCACACTGGTCCAACGCAGACTGGCAAAGTGTGCAGCCTGGGGACTGGTTGAGATAGCACTCACTGCTGATGTTCGCGACGGCCCGGGAATCGAAGTCAAGGTCAATGGGGTCACCTCCCAGTGCACAAACCTGTGCCACTGCACTTCCCCCCCCCCCCCCCCCCCCCCCCCCCCCGAGTCAGATGCCATTATTCCTAAATTGCCACAAAACGTTCCAATTGAAGCGGGCGGCAAAAATCTAAACGGGTCACGAAAAAAAAAGGAGATTAAGGCAACTCGTGGCAGAGACAGAGGCACTAAATTGCACACCCCGTCTCCCCCTCCCCCTCGTGAATCACGCGCGCACATGGCACCCACGCAGCAAGTCACAACCGCGGCCGGCGCACGTCGCGTCACCTGCGGCGGCGGCTGTTACAACACGCAGCGGTGGCGCTAAGCAAATGCCAAGGGTCCCCAAGTAGTCCATGGGGATCCCGGAATTGTGAGAAATAATAAAATTAATAACAGGGGTGCACCATCAAATATCAGCTCGAACTCAGACTCTTATGGAGAAAAAACCCAGCTCATCGTTTAAATAACACCATCAACAATATTTGTCGTTAGTAATTAATTATTTCACCTAGCTGTGATGTAATTAAGTTATGTAGCTCGTCCGTCATATAATGTTCGTCGTACCCAAATGCCCTCCTTCAACGGAGCACTCGCTACCTTGCTGTAAACCTCGGGTAGCTATCCAGCATAGGGGGCTGCGGCGAATATCAGCGATGATTATCTGAACCGGTCCTGGGCCTCCCCTCGGCAGCCCTGGCATCAAACGACGCACGCAACTCTCATTCCTGCTCAGGATCCCCAGTGG